TCTGTGGTTACAATATTCTCCAATGCTTCTTTCCGCACTGTGTGTCCAATGAAATTTGCCAGTCGCTTTCGTATATTCGTCATAAGCTGTCGTCAGGAGCAAAAATTTTATCAAATAAATGTTTCCAACAGCACTGTCTGTTGGATGTGTGGTGTCGATTCCATGTATATAATTATGTGCTTAAGAAATATTTTGTCGAAATTCAACAAATTTTAAATGCTGAAAAAAAAGTACATAATGTAGGTATGTAGGCTACAATTGTTATTGAATGTATCAGGTTTTTTTTGTTTTTTTCGTTCTCCTGAAAATTTTTGTTTTCTGGCCTTAGTTCATTTGAAAAACTTATTTACAAAACTTTGTTTGTTTAGCACTGACTTCCTGGACAATAGACCTTTTTTGCTTTCTTGTTATATAACGTAGTCTTGTGGCATATGTTTGTCACTATACACAGACTGAATCAATTGAAATTCGAATATTTTACTCATTGTAAAATACCGTGAGCGTGTATTTAATAAATAATAGAATCTATTTTTTTATTGCAAGTATGTGTCCGTTCTAGTTATTCATTTTTGGAGAGAGAGAGAGAGAGAGAGAGAGAGAGAAAAGGGGAGTGGGGTAGAAGTAGATGATGAGAGAAAGGAGGTGCACCTAGCGCTTGTCTTTTTTATAGCTTGTTTTTGGGTGATCAACTTTGACAAAAAGTGAAATCATAGCTAAGCTCAATATTTTAAAAAATAATTGTATTTTTATAGATCTAGTTTTTCCGTCAAACATAGCCTCGAAACATGTCTCGAAAACTGACATTCCTTATGTAAACAATAATTATCAAAAATATAATTGATAAATTACCGAGGAGCTTAGTAAACTCCTTGTAAATAACACACACACGTTTCTTCTCTCTGCCGCCTTTTATTTCCGCTTTTAGACATATTATATATATGACACGGGTTTTCCCTATTAGCCTACAGTATAAGATCTAGGTACATAATATTGTATGAGGTCATTGGTTTTCTCAAAAAGCTTTCCTCAAAAAGCGAAAGAGTTCATCGATTGTGCACCGGTGTGTTCTGACGGCATGCTGATGAAAGTTTTAACCACAGTAGTTGAGTAGTGTTGGCAAACGTTTTGGAAATTGCCATCAGTTTGCTAAAATGAAAAAGTGATGTAAAAGTAAGTTTATACAAACCATGTCTCATGGCAGATTCTGGTGAGCTCTTAGAGTTCGTTTCCACATCTCATCGTCATCATCTCGTACCATCCATTGGCTAATGCTATAGACTTATAGGCTATACAATGTTGCTAAATCAGAGCAGAATTGAGGGCTTGGGGTAGGCGTAGGGGTAGGGTAGGGGTAAGGGTAAGGGTAGGGTTAAGGTTAGGGGTAGGGAGGGTTAGGTCTAGGCCTCTTCTCTATTGGGTAAATTTATAGAAACCCTCCCGTCTCATAAAGGGTATTATTTTGTAGCTTTTTACAGGTTTTTTAGGGCCCTGAACACGATTTTGGCATTGAAAAACGTCGCAAATTGTTAGTTTAGATGTTACGGCACTTTATTTCAGGGGGGGAGACCCCCCCTGAACCCACCCCTACCCGACCTACACGGCTATAACGTACTCGCACGTCAGGGGGAGACCCCCTGAAACCCCCCTAATGTCTATAAAAGCATGCATTATCCAAAAAAAATCCTAAAACTGAACCTTAACTAAAAAAAACGGACCTTAGCCTTATTCGTATATCCCACGGCACTAAAGTGGTGAAGGAGCTGACTTCCGGTAGTGGATGTGACGCAAAACGGGAGTGCTTCTATAAAAATACCCTTTATTGTGTTTGATGGGGTGGTCGCTCGTTACGGAAGTCCTCCCGCGGCGATTGCCACTACTGTACTACTGAACTGTACTCTACTAGATTCTAGTTTCTATCTAGATCTGCTTGTGTTACACTATGCTTACTTACAATTTGAAGTATAGTATGGGCATCAACACTTGGATTTTTATTCACACTGTGTATGATGACTTTTGTGGTGCTGACTGGGAGGAGGATGGGGTCCCATGGTCTGGTCAGATAAAAATTCTGGGGAACCCAGATTCTGAGTCCATCATCACCTTTTAGAAATTTAGATAGATTTCTAGGGCATCATAGGGGCCTGTTTTGTTTAGGCCTAGATTCTAGATCTAGATCTAGATTTACAAATTTATCTAGTCTAGTTGTAGTAAATTTTTACTTTCACTTTCACACCTCTACCTCCGCACTCTTTGTCTTTGGATGTCTTTGGGGGCTATTATATGACCCGTTATTCTGCATGCGACTAAACGTAGAACGACGCAAACTATTTTTAGGTAAGGCGGCCATCTTGTGTGACGTCAGATTGGGATACCTCTCCGATCACATGACTACATGATCTAAACATAGCCGACCACATGGCACCAAAGATCGTGTCAACATAGATCTATACCTACCATGACCATGGCACGACGTTTGGTGTGATGTTTTTCCAGGAGACGTACCGGTAATGCTATAGATGATTCAGTGCTCCGATGATGCTGCTGCTTATCTCATCTGCACATTGTTATCAGGCTCGGGGGGGGGGGATCTCTGGGCGTCTTTTCAGAAATTTCCGGGCGCTTTATTGTCTTTGTGTTTTCCATGTTTCAATTTCAAGCATCAGCGTTCTTACTGTTCGGAGCATCAACAATCTAAGTGATCTTCCATCACCAGAGCATGGCTGACGTGCTGTAGTTAACCGCAAGTATGAAATTTTACAGTGCGAAACCACATCGATACGGATTCAGGGTGCCCAGCAAGGTCATAAAGTCGTAAATTCAGCGCCCTGGTCGTAAATTGTAGTAAATGTGCCGTGAAGGTAATAAACATTTGGTAAAGCAGTCGTAAATTAACCTGTGCACAGAGTGATAGAGCCAGCAAGACTTTTCAGTGAACGGAATCATGGCTGCAGTATGAGTACTCGGCTATTACCAAATCCCATCTTTTGTTACTATTCGTTCGGCTTTTTCCTGTCCGAGAGTACATTACACGCGAACAGGCGGGTATGGCAGCAGTCAGAAGTGCATGTGTGACTCCGAGTTTCGATAGGAAAAATCAAGATGCTACTTTCGCTTTCGCTACCTCCTATAGACCTGCATGTTTGCCGACAATCGTCTGAAATCCGACCATCGTGACCCGACCCGCGAGCCGGCCAATGATATCGGTAGGCCCACCTGTATTAGTCAATGTGCGAAGTACAAGGCCTGGCCGTCTGCCAGCGCCCCCTTTTTCTCCCGTCGGCTTTGTCGGCACTTTCGTTTTCGTGCCAACCGCTGATTGCCGACGTTGGCGTTTCCGACATAATGGTCGGAGCCTGAGTAGAAATACGAATATGAAAAAGGACGACGTAGTAGAGAATCATTGGCATCTCCGCGGTCTTCTAAAAATAGTCTGTGGGTACCCCAGGATGTGATGACATCACATTACTAAAATACGCAGCCAATCAGGCAGGTGTGTCGTTCTATGTATTTAGCCGCATGTCGATATTCTCACCCCCACCCCGATGTGGGAATGAGGCGAGGACTCCCCCCTGACCTCTCGCAGGCTGATAAAATCACCTATGCCCCAGGTGGCTTACCGCATGTGGTTTGGAAATGACTTATGAGTGAGTGGTGCTTGTTTTCTCATGTAGGTCAACTACTGATTACCGTTGCCATAGTCTTGGCTTAAATTATTGTTTAAAAAATCAAATAGCCTTCTTAAAATTAAGCTATAATTGTGAGGACCGGTAGGTATCAGATGCGTTCTGGTCTTGACATTTCATTCTTGCATAACCATAGATCTAGATCTAGTGTAGCTCGGTTTTTTTTGTTTTTGTCCTTTTTCCAGTGTTGTTTGCTGTTCATGGTGTGAAGTGAACCTGAAACTTTTCTCTACAACTTATAAGTTATATCCTCTGTGCTTTTTTATGTGTGTCTGTGCTATATACGCCTACTATAGCACACCTGAGGAGGGTGAGAATAGCGAGACACAGGCTATTCTCAGAATAGCCGCTTCCTTTAGTTTTTGTCATCAGAACAGAATAAAACGGCTACATGATCCGACACTGCAACCACTGAAAATGAATTGCTTTTTAAAGAAAATCTCAAACCTTAGCATGGGAAATATTATATACATGACAAAGGCATAACCCCCTGTCCTGTAGTCTTGTAAACATTTTATACCCAGATGCAGGAAGGACTTCCATAACGAGTGACCACCCCAACAAACACAATAAAGAAGAGGCCTTACCCTAACTCAAACCCTAACCAACCCTCTATTCTACTCTGTCTCATAGTGGTTGCTGGTTACGGAAGTCCTCCCCATATGTGTGATGTTTTGCAAGGAGTTCCACAGAGGGCCGGCCGACCAACAACACAGAAAAGAGGGGTTATTTTGAGCGGGGCATGCAAAAAAGTTGGGTTCACGGTTCAGTATTTTTGAAAAATTTCTATTTTTGGCTTTAGCGGTGGGAGACCCCCCTCTGCACCCCGGCTCCGCCTTTGTTGGTATTCTATTGTTTTTGCATCCTCCCCCCTCCTTCTGAAACGAAAGTCCAATATTCTGAATAGCTGACAGAAAAAGGTAATGGCGAATTTCACACGACTTGAATTTGTCCTCGACTGGAGCTGTCAAATGTGCTTTGCTCTAAAAATGTAGCTCACCTAGTCGTCAAATGTACCAAAACGTAAGTCATCAATTGCATTCTATAAGTGCGCCAACTCTTGCATAGTTTGCTCATTGGGCCTTGTCACGGTAAGTGTCGGCCCTCTGCGGAACTCTTCCCGTTTTGCAATAAAGTATAAGGTGTAATATTTTCTCTCCACACGTCAATCATCATATCGAGTCAGACTTAGATTTATCTAGACTTTTGATTATTTTTACTCAAGAATTATTTTGTGTTCAACCCATTACTCATTACTGTTTTATTATAATAAATAATAAGTTTGGAAATCCAGTATCTAGCCACATCAAGAACAAAATCTTTAATCTGGTGCTGTCAGGAAGAGTATATTCGTACGGTAGTAATCCTTCACTTAACGAGGTTGTTTTCTCTCCTTTATTAATTTTCTCATGATTTGTAGCACTATTTCTAATTCTGATTTTTCAACTGTTATTGTTACTGTTACCACTTGTGTTATGTAATTTAAGATTGTATCCATGATTTCTTCCTTCCAGGCTGAAGCAATTAATTTAATGAGCTCTTTTCAAAACTCATGTTACAGTTTTATTTCTTTTCTTTCAGCTTACTGATGTTTACAAGGCATGCAGAACTGTTGTTCAAATCAGTTTGGAGAATATCAGTAACTTCTGTTTCTGAAAGTCATACCACCACGCACAAATTTCACCATAACTTTTCCAAGCGTTCATGTATAAAGTGTACATCCGCAAGAAGTGTTGCATTTTGCATTTTTCCTAATTTTGTGAGAAGACAGTATTGTTCATTGCCGATTGGAAGACCAAGAAGATTTCCAATGTCTGCAGAAGTTAATGAAGTTACAGAGGGTCTTGCCAAGGTTGTGCTGCCCAAGTCTGTTTTTTACAACCCAGTCCAAGAATACAACAGAGATTTGACCATAGCTGTTATCTCTGAATATGCAAAACTTCATTTTGCTAATGCCCACAAATCTGAGAATGGAAAAAGAAGTAATAAGAAATCTGAGAATTCAGAGACGAAGGTAGAAAAATCTGACAGTGGCTTGGATCCACATGTTTTTGATAATGATATATTAGAACCGGGGAAGTACTACGAAAATGGAATTAAAATATTTGAGGGATTAGCGGCATCTGGATTACGGTCTGTACGCTTTGGCCTTGAAATACCAGGAGTAAAGGAGGTCATAGCCAATGATTTTGACAAAACAGCTGTTGAATTCATTGAACGAAACATTTCCCAAAATGACTTGGGTCACATCATGAAGTCACGACATGGAGATGCAGCAATGGGAATGTATGAGCGTAAGTCGGTGGAAGAGAGATTTGATGTGATAGACTTGGATCCATATGGTAGCCCACATCTTTTCTTAGATGCTGCAGTGCAAGCTGTGAAGGATGGAGGTCTACTATGCATTACATGCACAGATGCTGCTGTACTTTGTGGCAATGCTCCGGAAAAGTGTAGTGCAAATTATGGAGCTTTATCTCTCAGGTCAAAGTTCTGCCATGAAATGGGAGTTCGAATCATTCTTCAGTGTTTGGATTCACATGCAAACCGCTACTCAAGGTACATTGTACCACTGATTTCTCTTAGCATTGATTTTTATTTTCGAGTTTTTGTCCGAGTTTACACAGGGCAAAAGCAAGTGAAGCATTCTGCCACCAAGAAAGCTATGGTGTACGAATGTGTTGGCTGTGGATCACATGCCCTGCAGCCTTTAGCTGAAGCAGTGCCAACAAAGGGAGAAGGGAATTTCAAGTTCATGCCTGGTACGGGCCCAGTGGTAGGCCCAGTGTGTTCTCATTGTGGCCACCATCATCGTGTAGGAGGTCCAATATGGTCAGCTCCCATTCATGACAAAGACTTTGTCAAACAGGTGATACAGCAGGTGCAGACAAACCCAAAACCTTTGGGAACAAAAGACCGTATCTGTGGAATGCTCAGTCTTGTGTTGGAGGAGCTACCAGATATTCCACTCTACTATGTTCTAGATGCTGTCTGCAGTGTATTGCATTGTACTCTTCCAAAGATGACGATACTTAGGTAAGAAGCACCCTGTTACTCTCTGTGAGTGTGATAGTGTTTGATGGATGGATGGATGTTCTTTTGTAGTCTGTTTCTTGTTCTTTTCTGTTATTATTACTGGTTTGTGCAGAAGAAAATTTAGTTTTGATTGACCCTGACTTATAATAAAACTTGGAATTCAGTCTCGTAGACATAATGGAAATTGTGATTGCTTGTCAAAAGAAGTGTGAAGGAAGGTCACTCATATATGGGTTAAATAGATTTGATTTATTTGAGAATTAATTGAATAGGACTAGCCTCATTCGTCTTCAGTATTAATAGTAGGTTACTTTGAATGCCTTTTTTGTTTTTTGTTATGACTTGGTTATTATAGGCCCTACTTGTAGTACAGTTTTTTCTTTTGGAGTACTCTCAGGAGTGAAATCAATAAAATTGTCTCATAGCAGTCTCCCGTTTTTTAGGTAGAGACTTTTCATCCAAAACTTGCATTTCTTCTGATTTTTTTGGGGCTTTTGGTTATGATTTTGTTAAATTGATGTCTGAGTGACCTCTCCTAGCTTGATTTTGTACCTTTCTATGCTAAATTAGTTGTTTGGTCTTTTACTTTTATGTTTTGGTAACCACTTTGGAAGAAAGTGAATCTTTGTCTTTCGTGTCGGCAGTGTACTGCTGAAGGGTGCTGATAGGTCCAGTGGTTTTTTGGTTTTCTCTGGTGTGCTTAAGATATGCTTTTTTAAAAACTATGTCCACATGTGTAGTATATCATGTCTTGACTGACTGTCATTGATTGTTTCTTTTTTATATTTTCCAGGTCTGCATTTTTAAATGCTGGTTACAGAGTTTCCTTGTCACATGCAGCAAAGAATTCATACAAGACCGATGCTCCTGCACAGTTTGTGTGGGTAAGGGAATTTTGATTTAGATTCTTTTTTTATAAAATTTATTTAGGATGTTAAGGATTTTTTGTTTGATTCTTGTCTTCGAAATAATGCTTTCATAATATTAATGATTTGAAAAATTTAGTTTTCAAGATTTGTTCTTGTACAGTTAAACATGGGTAACTCGAATTTGTCGGGGATTGGAAATAGTGTTCGATATTCCCAAATTCGTCATGTCCGTGGAAAGCCCCAAGTACAAAGAAATAGAAAGAAATTCAAGGGAGGTAAAAAGAACATTACAGCAATTAATGTGGTTAGCTTCCTTGATGAACGTGTTGAAGGTGTAAAAGAGGAAAGATGAATGAAAGTGGAAAACAGAAAATCTCCTGTGTGCACAGCTGACTCGTATGTCATTCCTTTTCTCTCATTTCATTGGCTTACAGAAAGTTACGCCTCTTGCCATCCGCACCTCGCGCGTCCCACAGCATGAATGCACGCGTGGCGAGCCAGTCATGCGTTGTGGTCAGCATCACTCCCCAACCCCCCTTCCCTGTCGGGTCGCCCCTTCCTCCAGCCTCTCTTGGTGAGACGAAGACCACGTTTTGGCTGTAATGTAACAATAACAAAGAAACACTTACCCATGGCAAGAAAGGCTGTAAAGCCGGATCTTAAGTTGAGAATGTGAAGTGGATTTGTTCGAGATTCGAATGTTGCGTGTTTGGGAACTCTGTGAAGTCAATACAAAGAAAACGTAGGTACTGAAATGGGACCGAGCATTATGTTCGAGATACCTGATCGTGATTTTCTTGTTCGAGATTTGTGGAGGTATATTTTTAACAATTTTCAAAATCTCATAATTTTGAGCCCACTAGCTTACAAGGAACAATAGACAGCTTATTTTGTGCTTTGTTAACTTTCCCAAGATTATTATTGTTGTATGTCAAGGTATAATTATGTGTTTTTTTAAAGAAAGCTTGTACTATTTACAGGCCTAAGTGGTAAGGCGTGATCATTATGTCTTTGTTTGCTGTAGGAATTGTTGATTGTTTAAATCTGAGCCAAAGTGGTTTCTGATGCCTTCTTTTTTTTTTCTGAAGCAGCTGTTCTCACTTCTTCCTTGACTGGGGTTGAAGTACTCTGTCTGCGAAATGACATGTTTTGTCATCAATAATAATTTATTGTTTAACAGGATGTGATGCGAGAGTGGGTTAAGGAGAATCCCGTCACGCAAAAACGCATGGAAGATGGTTCTGTTACAAAGAGTATTCTGGAGAAGGCACAGGTGTCACAAGTGAGCTTTGAGGAGCATCCGGAGGCCAACCCTCAGTCCCGAGAGATTGGTTTGTTAAGGTGGCAGACAAATCCAGAGCCCAATTGGGGTCCAAAGGCTAGGGCCAAGAGGACTTGTGATGATGACGCAAGTTCTGCTAAACAAAAGAAATCAAAGGTAAGAGAAGAGTTACCAAGTGGGTGATTGTATTATCGTCTTCTTTGGTTGTTTTGCTTTTTTCCCTTTGATTTAATTTTGCTATAGTGTGGAAGGTTGTTTTTTTTTTTTTCGTCTCCAGAACAACTGGTATGAGAATTGAGTTTTTAAAATCCTGTTTTGTAAAAATCGTGTTTAGTAAAACTTTTTCATCTCTTCCTTCTTTGTTCTTTTACTTTTACCATCTCTGAATTTATGCTTTACTTTGGGAATGACTTATTCATAGATGCCTCCCAATACACAAAAAAAAACCCTATTTGATATGTTTTTAAAGGTTGAGTATGGATGTCTGTTGATGTGTCGGACAATAGATAGTTTCTGTTTTCTTAACTTGTTCCTCGCTGTCTTGCAAATGCTGAAGAAAAGTTTTTAAGTTTAAAGACCGGATTTGGGGAAAAGGATTAAAACACAGTCCAAAAGTCAATATTGCATTATTGTAGCTGTTTAAATACTTTGAATTTATTGAATGAAGAAAAATGTGTGTGAAGAGTTTGGAGGAGAGGTGGGGGGGGGGGGGGGAGGGGAGGATGGAGAAAAATGTGTGTGAGGGGTTTGGAGGAGCAGAGGGGGGGGGGGATACCTGGCCCCAATACCCATTGTTTTGACATGCCTTGTGGTAATTTTTTTTTGTTTAGGTTTTTTTTCATTGCATGCATGATTGTTGTTTTTTTTTGGGGGGGGGGGGATTTCAACTATTCTTGTGGTGTCATTAAGCTCAAGCCAGTTTTTTAAAATTCTGTTGGGTATTGAAAAATTAGTTCTGAAGCTGTAATATGACTTTTTTACCTGTTCTGTTAGCTAATCATGAATTATTCCATTATAGTTGTTGTCACCTTTTTCCGCTATTGAAAAAAAAAATTGTCTCTCTTTGTGTGTATGGCCAAATGCATTGTACTCCCAGGTGCACAATTTACTGTCTGTTATATGGGAAGTCTAATTAGTAGTCTTTTTCTTCTGAATTATCTGAATATTAACTGTAGTATATGTACAGCATCTTGTTTAACATGAAAAGTAAAGAGTAATCCAAGTGGCAGTAAAATATTGTCCTTTCACTTCAAAGGTGAAAGTCATAAGTGCTTCAAGGTTTTGAATGGTAAATCTTAGAGCTTACAAAATGTTAAAGTAAACTCAGCATTCGGGTTCGTTTGTAATAAGCTTGACTTCATTGAAATTTAATTTTCTGGTATTTTGATTTTTGTATTTTTCAGTCTGCTAATGTCGAAGTGGCCCAGTCTACAGCACAGTGATGACAGCAGCCAACAAAAATTTCTGAATGCCCAAGCCTCATTTTATAGGTCACCTTTCAAAGTTTATCGTCATTTTTTTTTTTGCGGTTGGGGCTAAAAGTACATGTCGGTATCGCAAGCTATCCACTTAAGTTAGGTTGAGAATTTTTTACATCAGAGATAAAACACTAGTTTTTGTTGTGTTGTTCCTAGACTAGTATTAGTGGTTCAGTCAAAATGTGGATGAAAATCAACTGTGTTGACCTGTAAGCCTCTGTCTCGTGTCTGCTTGCCCGAGAGGTAAACCTAAACTAGCTACAGGAAGCCCTGTGATTGGATGACCCCTGGAATGTACCATTTCCGCTTAAGTTGAATTCTGAGGCAAGAGCCATGTGTAAAAAGGCGGCAGATTTTTTAAAACGTGTTTGGGCACATTTTTGGGGGATTTTCATGGATTCTGGCAGTATTTCGGCATTCGGGCACAACCCACTAGGCCCATGAACACTACATTTTCCAATATTATCTCATTTATTTCTGTGCAAGCTTAGTAACATGATTTTTGATACTTGTTTTCAACATTCAGTCACTGTAATAGTGTGTCTAAATTGGTTTTCACCTTTTATAGAGCTATTTTTGTGAGTATGTCATTGTTTAACTAAGTTAAGATTTAAACAACAGCCACAATACCAAAGTCTTTGCATTTAACCCTCGTAGCGCTTACCGGAAGCGCTGAGCGTCCTCTGTGCTGGGCTCGCTTAGCCCTGACCGTTCGTGACCTGCCCCGGAGCACTGGCCAGGCTGTGTGAGGCCCATGCGGGGAATGTTATTGTTTCATTTTTTATCTTGACAGTATGCGCTCATACATTCACCAAAACCCTAGACAAGTATACATTTCTAAATTCAGAAAGGACTTCACTTTCCAGAGGTATAGTTTTCAAAATAATAACTTAAACTGAAAGCTGTTAATGAAACCATGTATGTTAGTATGTAATGTTGTTAGAATTGGATTTGTTTACAACACAAGTTTCACTTGCAGGTAAGAGAAGGAAAACATTGACAACACATGTGATTTACCCTGCACTTCAATGGTGAAAATTCCCGCGCACAAGTTGATATATACTTCAAAAAAATGTAAATGGTCCCGATGCAAATGTTCCCAATTTTGTAATCCAACTCGAATTTCACAGTAATCCAGTATGAAATGATGAAAACCAGCCTTTCACTTTTAGGCACTGTTCGAATTTGTTTTTTATGTTTGAAATAGGATTTTTTGGAGATTTTCAATCTGTACTGCAGTTGGCCAATCAAAGAATGATTGTTCACCCCTCTGCTACGTTGAGGCCCAGTACAATGAGAGGGGGTTGGCCCTGAAAAGGGCCTTTACAAAGACATTTTGATGGGGAATGATGTCTCAGTCTAGGCTGCCTGGTCTGCTGCTGCTGTGTTTGCTGGCTCTGCGGCTGACTGGTCTGTTGTCTGCTGTAAGAGCTTCCCCCGAGCTCCGCTGGTGATCCTTCTGTCTATGGAAGAGCTGGAAACAAGGAGCGACACAAAGTCCAGTGTCACAGATCCTGCACTCGATGGTCGTTGACACTTTCTTTGGTGCAGCTTTTAGGCTGTCGTCGCCTTTGGCTTGTCTTTGAGCAGACAAAGCTGTTCATGTATGGCTGCTTCCTTTTTTGTCCCTGGTTTGGCACCTTGGAGGGGAAGTGACGACCAGTCAGCATGTGCAGTTGGTCTGCGCCTGGACTAGGAAGTATCCTCCTTCTGGCGTCTTGAATGGGGGCGAATGACACCATCTCCTTGCACATCATGTGGCAGAAGGTTCTGTGGCTGATTGCTGTCCCCCTGTTTGCTACTGCTGTGGCCTTGTACAGTAGGTATGCATTTAATTCTGCCAGCATGAACAAATGAATAAAGAGCTTTGTCCAACACTTCATTGTCCTCCTCTTGAAAGAACTGTACTGGACCATCTGGTCTGACCGGTCTACAGCGCCCATGTACTTGTTGTGGTCGATGAGAGCCTTGAATTTGTCATCAGGGTTGCCATCTCTGTCATGACGGTCTGTGCACTGTGAAGAAGCGTCATGGATGGTTGTCAGCACGTTGATTTCTTTCTTGTACATCCATTTGATATGGGTCAGTTTCCCATCGGTCATTACCTTCACGTCTTCCTTCGTCTTGACGACCTTCTTTCCTTTCATGGCAGCTGCCACTCCGGTGCTGTTTTTACGTAAGGTACCACAGGCTGGTGTTTTTCTGGCAAGAAGGTCGGTATACAGAATCAGACTGGTGTAGTAGTTGTCCACATAAAAGTGAGGACCGGCATCCAGATGGAGTCAGCAACCGCAGCAGTGTCATAGGTGGCCCCCTTCCGTGAGGCTGGCTTCTTACCGCTGTACACTTGGAAGGCTGCGCAGTAGCAGTTGGCGGAGTCGCACAGCATGAACCGTTTCATCCCAAACTTGTCAGCCTTCTCCGCGTTGTACACTTTGAAGTGCAGAGGGCCCCTCCAAGCTACCATTGCCTCATCGCGGCCAGTCTCTGAGTGGGATAATAGGTGTCCTTAAATGACTACTGAAGATGTTCCAGGAATGGAAGGATCTTGAAGTTAGGGCTGTCCCTCGCCGGCGCTGTGTCGTTGTCGTTCAGGTGGAGGAACCTGAGGAGCAGCATGAAGCGATCCAGTGTCATGCATGCCCCAAAGAAGCTGAGGCTGTAGACTGCATCCTGGGACCAGTAGTCATCCAGGTCAGCAATTTTGATAAGGCCCATGGCTGTAATTATGCCAAAGAAAGCCCACCTCTCCTCGAAAGTGGTTGCGACCCACTAACCGAAGCGGCTTTTGGGACTGATGGTGGTTGAGGCAAGGTAGGCTTCTGCATACCCGAAGAAAAAACAGAGAAACAAAAATTAAGTGAGGATACGAGAAAAAATTCTCCAGGAGAATACCACCGGTACCCATTTTGCACCTGGATAGAGTGAGGAAAAATTTAGTAAAGTGTCTTTCCCACGGACACAACATTGGTCTTTGGTCTGGTAGACCCAAGATTTATACTCGCAATTTTTTATTCACAAGCACAGCAGCCTACCACTAACTACAGACACCTCAACAAATTGAATGGTACATGCACATAAAAAAAAATTTAAAAATGTATATCTATAGATGTACACATGTAACCAAATAAAAATGATCTTTTTCTTCCTTGTTTTCTGTTTCCTCTCTCACTGAAAAAAACCCAACTGATTTGTATCCTGCCCCTTTTTTTTCCAACAAACTTTACCTTTACCATTCCTATTGCTTATATATATATATATATATATATATATATATATATGCTTTACAACCCCACTAATTGATTTCTTTCAGATCTAGTAAGTTATGATGTTACTTAGTTTCACTGGGGTATATTTTCCTGTTTGTGTCCTCGGTTATTCTCCCCATGATGTTGTCATCAACTAGTAACTTCAAGAAGGTGAAAGGGTAGGCATCAGCCTCAACCCTCTTCAGCAGCCCAGGTTTGCCAGTGACAGGGGGTGTCGCTGGGGGAGGTGGGGAAGCGTTCTCATTCCAGGTCCAGGTGTCGTCTCACGGCTTGGTCGTCGGGGGCAGCAGTTGTGGTGTCCTCCTCTTTGTCACCTCTTTCAGTTAGCCGAATGTCTAGATCATTTGCACCCTCATCATCACTGCCAGCAAAGTAGACTTCTCTGGCGGACTCCTGACTCTGGAATGCCGTCATTGCTAGAAAATGATTCCATTTCTACGCAGTGTTCTGAAGATTTCGATGTTTCTCGCTCAAAGAACGCAGAGAAAGTGCCAGAGATAGCGTGGGTTCCAAACAAGATAGCGTCAGTAAATTGTCAGTTTTTCTCATTAGGTCACCTAGATAATAGTTTGGGTCTAATTAGGGGCAGAGATTAATGCTAAACAAAGGGTACCAATCATTCATTCCCTGTTGAGTCACCTGGAGCGCTACGAGGGTTAAGATCTACAAACGAAACAAAAGCAACCATTATCTTTATAAATGGAGCCAAGGATATTTAATAAACACTTAAAAATGACCACAAAAGAAACGTACTTGAACCAAGCATACATATACACACAAAGATGAGAAAGGTCGCATGAAATTCAAACATTGAAACATACATAAAAAGACACACAAGGATGAAAAATGTAAAAACGGGCACACATGACGCAGTACACTATCAAGTAGGCCTATTCGTTTGGAAAGCATTCACTGCGCAAAAACTGGAGCTGCTCAATTTCCTTAGTGCAGAGGGAATGGGCAGCCTTGGTACAGCGCTTGTGCCACCAGCCATCGCAGAGTTCACACTGTAACCAGAGTTCTTCTTCATCCCCTTTCTGGTGGCAGCCCTTGCAGAGATCTGAATGAACTTCTTCTATTAGGCACTCATTAGCATCTCAATGCGCTTTTGTGTTTCCAACTGTCTTGTGTTCCCCACTGCTGCTACTCTCCGTTCTAGCTTGACTGGCTTTTGCCACTTTCCTTTGCTTCGCCAGTTCTCTCTTGTTGTTTTGTTTTCTCCTCTTCGGCCTTCTTTTGCTGTCTTGCCAACTTTTCCAGTTCTTTCTTGAATTCTATCACTTCTTTCTCCTCTTTTTTCCTCTTATTCTCTTCTCACATGGTCTTCTTTACCAGTTTCTCTTTCTCATCTTTTTCCTTTCTTTGAAGTTTTCTTTTCATGGCACCCCTGAAGTCCTCTTTACTGATGGTAGTAAGGCTGGGAGGTTGGCTGCATGAGATTGTTGTCCTTGAACTGTACCAAAGGCATTCACTTGTAGGTGTTGTCTCGAGTCCGAGTGAAGACGAACAAGATGCTTGCGTTGACATGACTTTGTTCAAGGAGACAGAAGTAAATCTTCTTCCACCATTTGTACAGCCTTTTTTTGTGCAAACCGTAGCGGTCAGCATGAGCGTACCAGTTCATAAATTAATTATACCTGTGGATCAGTGTCGGTTTCTTCACCTCGCTCCTTTGTTTCAGAATTTGCTCAGCCCCCAGTGCACGACACCAATATTGACACTGACCTGTCATTCAAAGAAGACATCAGGACTGTCAGTATTCTTGGAGGTTCACTGCACAACCTGTGAGCAAGCCATTTCTACGAACTACACCTCTCCGTCTGAGGTTATGAGGGAGCAGAACTTTTTAGCTGGGGTGGCATTTGCCTTCCAATGTTGATCGTTCCAGTGTATTGGTGATGACGAGCAGTGAGGAAGTGAAGCAGATCCACAGACGTGTATAATCTGTCACCATATATGTGGTGGCTCTTCTCAAACAGTGTTATCAACTTGCCTATAACCTGCACAGCTTGGGCACAGTTCGGGTCAAGGTAAGGGTGGTGAGCTGTTGCAGCACCATAATAAGTGAACACATTGTATGTGTACACACTAGGGCTGTCACAAAGACAGAAAGTCTTTATGTGATACTTTTTGGGTTTTGACCCATTGAACTGCTTGTGCTTCCAGCGGCCTTTGTATCCCATCACCATTTCACCTATGCTGAGCTGTCTACCGTGGTAAAGGGCGCTCTGGAATTATTACACCACATAACCTAGAAACGGCTCGATTTTGTCTTGATCCACTGGATCCTCTCTGCTGGCGTGCAAAATGGTGTGGTAGATCAACTTAAACCTTGGTGTTGTCCAGTGCTTTTGATGTCCTTTTTAAAACGACGAAGTACAAATTTGAGTACAAGTACTTTTTTAAATTCCAAATAGCAGACAGAAGGAAAGTAAAAACAAGTTTAATAGGCAATGAAATCTTGAGTTGTGGTGATGAGATGCGATAAATTTAAAGCCTTAGAACTTTTCGCTGAGGAAAAAAAAAAAAAAAAAAAAATCATACACAAGACATAAAAGGTTTCCTTTACCTTGCAGAAATCCTCAAACTCAATGTAGGCCAATTCTTCCTCACTGAACTGGGTCCCCCCAAGTCTGTCCATAAGAACGTTGAGTGACACCTTCACCTTCCGCAAACAGTCCGTGGCATCAAAGGAGCTGTTCCATCTTGTGGCATTCGGCACAATCAAATACCTGCCAAGCACTGACAGCATTGTCTCTAGGAAAAAGTGAGAACAAAAGGAAATGAGTGGCAGTTGGCTGGGGGTAGTAAAATAAAAAATCCTGTCGATTAAAAAAAGTAAAAAAAGACACATGGCACGAAAAATATGCAGAGATGCAAGAGAGCCCTGGAAAACATGAGACTCTCAGTTCAAATGGGCAATATTGCACCCTTTAGAGCAATATTATAAGTTTTAAAATCTTTTCAAATAAACTCTGGTTGGGGGTAGATGGCACAAAGGAGTTTAAAGCACACTCAACTTACCTGCAGCAAGAGAACTTCTGCACTGTTTGTTGCATAGAAGGTTCGCCTTTACCCAGCAATTTTGGGCCACATCATTGTTCACCTTCATGACATCTTTGGCAACAAGATTCAGGGTGTGTGCTGCACGTCGTTGCTGAAGGGGCAGTGCAATGGACAGGGTCTCCGTTGAATTATCTTTCAAATCATAGATGGAGACCGGCTCCACACTGATGCCCTCATCTTCTTCTGGAGCAAGTATACAGAGACAAATGAAAAAAACAACTTGCTAATCACCCAATATTGAGACAAAATAAATGACAGGATTTATCATAACATTGACAGATTTGATATTTTAAAAAATCAGCGTGTCAGATCATTTTACCCTTAGTGATTCACCTACATCATCTGTCAAAATGACACATTTAATTAATTCAAATTAAGCTTTATACTTCTTTTTGAAATAAAAAACTCACCCAAAACAAATATTTTCACCCTTCACATGGGTGACACAGTAACCAGTAACCTCTATGCTGCCATTTTTTTTTTCTTTTTAATTCTTGTGTAAATTATTACTATACAAAATGTCAGCAATAAAACCAATTGTATTGTATTGCAATTCGACAATAAGATGCCCACCTTAAAGAGGAAATTACTAAAATATCAAGAACTGTTAAGAGATAATGTTTGTTGTTAACAATGTCACTGAGCTACAATTGAAAGAAGAATAAAAAGCAACATCCATTGCAATCGTACATAGTTTCATTTTCAATCTTGAACCAAATTAAATTGTCACAAAGGTTTTCACCGGAAAGCCTTCACAAAATTGGCACCATTGTCGGTAATTACCCTCTGCACCTTATGCTGGATGGGGAACTCTGTGTGTATGCCATTTATTGCCTCAGCCACCTTTGTATAGGTGCGAGAACCCTTCATGCGTCGGCAAGCCAGAGCCACACCGTGGGGCTCTAAATTTCTTTCCCTCCAGTGAGCTGTCATTCCAATGTATGCCCTATAAATGAAAGGATGGAAGATTTAAAGATTAAGACTGAAAGACATTCCTGAGAAACAAAAAATGAAACTAATATCTTGAGCAAAATGACACAGCCAGCAAATACATGTCAAGATTCAAGGGATACAATTTCAAATAAGCACCCCAGTTTGGTCTTGGGAATCGTTTGATTATTAAAGAAATTTAGTTGAAGTTAAAAAATGATCCTCATTTATACCTCCTAAATTTAAAATTAGGATCAGAAGTCAGCTAAACTAATAATAAATAGCAAGAGAAAAATGTAAGATTTAATACCTGTTCTGCGCAGACCAGCAATCGGCAGTGGTGTAAAGATCTGTGACCTCATCCAGCCTTGCCTTGATGGCAGCAACGTACTGGTTCCATTTCTCCCTAAAAACAGAATTTCAATCATAGGAAATAGGTTACTATAAAAATAAGTGCGTATATTGCAAGCAACTAAATCTAGTGCAAAGTATGGAATTTTAGAAACCGCTAGTTTATAGTATGGGAGAGTTCTGGGTTATGGTAAGATTAGTCCATAGCTGATTTACCAAGTTGCCATTACTGACAGCTCATGATTATAATGACTATATGATATGTATCGTAGGTGTTTTATTACTCTGAAACGAATGCTGAGAACTTAGGAATTGCAACTTGTTTGTTTTTTTGTTTGAGGGTACAACTTGACTTTCAGTACTTGTATGTAGGTTTGTCAAAGGTGTCTTCTAAGAAGACTGAGTGAATTAAAATGTTGTCAAATGGTTCAGATTGTTGCTTTGTTTGTTTTTTAAAATTTGTATAAGTATATAATATGTGCAATTTCTATTTAATTTTATATTTACCATTCTTATGGCATTTCTTTCTGTTCACCCTGAATGACATCGGTACTTTTGTTTCCTCTTCACCCCTCACTTTTCAATGTTTTGTGGTACATACACTTATATTTATATATAAAATCTTTTTTTAAAAGACTTCGTCAATTATATTAATTGTAGAAGTTCTCGTGTATCTTATCATAGCAGCACCTGTTCAGCACCCTGTGTTGATTCATATTAACTAATATAAAGTGAAATTAAACGGGAGATGAAGTTTCTGTTCAAAGTTATTACATCTGTAGACCTGCACTGCAGAAATCCTTTTGTGCCTTCAAATTCAAAAGGGGAGTCAAAAAAATTAATAAATTGAAAAGTGGACTTCACTCAAAAAAAAGTAAATGATTGTCAATAGGACACCGAAAAAAACCCCAACTTTGATAACTCATGTTATCAGTTCCTCCCCTTTTTTCCTTTGTAATTTGTAGTCAGAAGAGGGCATCTTTGGGTCACAAAGTCCTTTTCACAAAGAGTCACAAAGAGTATTATTCCACTGTATATAAATTTGCTCCTGCCACTTCTTTGGTTCCAAGTAAAATAAAAATAGTTATCTGTTGGTAGCCTTTATTAAATTAATTCAGGGCGACACAATTAATGGGCACTGGTCCTGTGAGAACTCATTAATGAGCAGTTTGAGTAGAATTTTTCTTTCATACCACAAAGTTGTTGTTTTCTGCTATTATACAGATGGAACTCCTGTAATTGAAGAATAGGAAACATGAAAACCTTTGTTGTTTGTTTTTTGTTTTTGTAAAGTGTTTTACGGCGCTCGCAACTGCATAAGGTCATATGAGCGCGCGGGACACACCTATATTTTCAGTTGGTAGGAAATTTTGAATTTTGCCCGGGTGGCGGCCGAAGCGTACTCTTATCGATTTTAGACCACCAAGGGATCTTTAACGTGCGCAACTTGCACTGGGGCCCTCCGAGATTTTTCGCCCTTGTCTGAGAAGGCTAGGTGTAGATCTTTCCTACCAGAAGATCAGGGGTGTGGCAGAAAGACAGCAGTAAGGAGGAGCCAAGGAGTAGCAGTAGAAAGGCTGCAGAAAGTGAAAGAGTCAGGAGCCCAGAGGAGGGGGCAAAGGAGGTGAGGGGGTGGGGGCAGAAAGTGGAAATGAAAGCAGACAACAGAATATTGCTAGAGAGCAGGAAAGGAGGTGAAAGGAGACAATTTTAGAGAAGAAAATTTTTCGGTCGCTACCTGGATTCGAACCCGGAACCTTTGAATGAGAGGCTAACACCTTAACCTCTAGGCCACGAGAGCCCCTGAAAACCTTTAATCAAATGTGAGCTGTGTCTGTTTCTTCATGTTTACACTTACCTGTGGGCCAAATAGCTCTAATTCAGACTCAGCTGTGGGCGCTGCTGCCCTCTCTTCTAACAGTACACATAACAGTACACACCAGAGGAGACTCCATACTCCATCCCAAAGCCTCCATTTTTCTCTGCGTAGGCCACTGCCATTGACATGGCACTGGACTCTGTAGAAATTCCCAGTACAAATCTTTCCTTATCCTTTCTGACATCACCTCACTAACAAACTACACACTCTTACAAGCAAAAATAGGTAGGTTACAACAAAAAATACACGCTATGACTGAAACCGGGAAAAGTATCGTGTTCGCATAGCTACCTCGCCATGTGGGCATCCGAGGAACAGAGCTGATGGATCTCCTGGCGAAGGAATCCTTGTCCCTTCTGTAAGAATCAATGACAAACACTTTCCCACAAGATAAAGTAAAAAACTACACCTCCAGTCTGTGGGAGACACATTGGAAGAAACAAACGAACAACAAACTACACAACATTAAGTAAGCCTAAACTGGGTCCACGAAAACCTTCGAGCCTATCCAGAAAAGATTAAGTCATTTTTACTCAATTACACATCGGACACATGTCTCAAACACAATAAATTCCTCTTTCAGAGAGATGAGAAACCGTTCTGTGTCGGATGCAACTTAGATTTTACCATTAGACACATTTTCACAGAAGAGAGACCCGAAGGAAGTATTTTGAATGCAAAAAATTGCAAGATCTGTTTTCCGTTGTTGATCCCTGAAGAATCTTTGATTTTATGAAGGCCATTGGCCTTTAAGGAAAATTGTAAAAAGTTATTTTGATTTTAAGAAGGTTACTATTTTAAACTGTTATTTTACCTCAAGTTTTTAGCATTTTAGATCTGATCGTTGACCCGAGCCAAGCCATGCAGTGAACTGTTGTGAATGCAACTAACTTGTGTTTCGCACGCTTATATGACCTTATGCAGTTGCAAGCGCCGTAAAACTCTTACTAAAACAAAAACAAGAAGAATAGAAAACATGAAAACCTTTACTCAAATGTGAGCTGTGTCTGTAATTTTCTCTTGGTCTGTTAACTCTTGCCATTTCTTTCTTGATGTTTACACTTGCCTGTGAGCAAAATGCTCCACTTTGAAAGAACCCACAGAAATCAGTGTCCTATTGGACACTTTTACACAAGAGATAAGACAAAAAAAGAACTACCGTAGTTCTGTATGTCCCACTTGAAAATGACACCGTTAAAGTCAATTCAATAAGTCCATGGTGCCACCTCCTGTGTACCCCTACTTTATCGAAGAGTCTTTTTCTTCTTCTTCTTCTTCTCGATCACATCAGACTTGGAAGTCCAGTATCTATCATAAATTGGGCCGTCCTGCTCAGTTCCTCTGTCGTCCCGTATAACTTCTCTTGTAGTACTTGTAGTGTCAGCGGGGTTGGCCTCGTTTCCTTTTTCAGGGATCGAAGAGAGTATTTTTGACACTTCTGTTCTAAAGTACAGTCGAACCTGTATAAGACGGCCACCCATTGCCATGGAGAAAAGTGTCCGTCTTAGGCCGGACTGATCAAGATGGAGAAAACAAACCATTCCTTTCTAAGAAAACAAACCCTCCCTTTCTGAGGTCCCAACCGAAGGTAGTTGCATTGTTTCTTGTTTTTGTTGTTGTTTTCGCTGGGTTTTCTTTTCTTTTGTAGCTGCTTTTGTGCACGGGTGACAATAAAACGAAATGTGTCAAACAAGGAGGACCAAGTGCTATGGTGAAACAAACACACGTACTAACACTCGGAGAACAAGCAACTCTTCTGTCACAAGTTCATGCTGACGTCCATTGTTACTTTGTTACAGACTGGGTAAACAGTGACCACTAATCTCACTTGCGATTTGTGAATGGGTTCTGGGCGGGGCGTATGGGTTATGAGGGATCACACACTTCCCTCCACAGAAGCTGAAAATTAATTTTGTTACCTATTGGTCAACAGTGGGAGGGGCCTACGCAACATGATCAGTTGGAGGGACTATCTAACAACGACAGGTTTTTAGATTATGACGGCTCGCCCACAACGCCAGGGGCCAATGCTTGATTTATGACAAAGCGTAATGGAGTCACTAAGGTGGCCGTCTAAGACAGATGTTATTGCTTTGTGTGATAGGGGTTGTGTGTTGAAATATGGTGGCCGCGGCCGCGTTGGACAGGTGCCCGTTTTACACAGTTAAATTATATAAGAAAAAACGCAAGGGGGGAAATGGAAAGTGTCCGTTTGTACAGGTGGCCGTCAGGGCAGGTTCGACTGTATTATGGAAGACCATCTTTAAAATATTAGTATATTCCTATCATTAGTATTGTACTCTTACTTGGACTCGTACCATAAGCCTACCTCAGTCAAGGTTCTGTCATAGAGTTGAGGCAAATTGCTATCAAGAATAGGCCTACATGTTTATCCCTTTAAGCTCAGGTCAGATCTTTTAAGACTACCATGAACCCTTTGCCCGGCCTCGAGCAATTCACACTTAAATTTGATGAAATCGCTTCATTTTCACCAAACTGCAGGCTCTTGTGAACGCAGAATGCATCTTGGCAAGACCTTAGCTGAAGTTTGTAGTCCAGTTGTTTTGACTGGCTGATAAATATATGGGCTTTAAATATATATCCCACAAATGTGATGCTGGCTCGCTAACCGGTGTACTAGCTACATATGTACATAATAGGCACTTGAGGCACTTGAGCAATTTTACTTGCCATCCATGTACAGGTTGCCAAAGCTCAAAGGGTAAATAGTCAGAAAATTATGACTGCTGGTCTGGCACAAGTTAGATCATTTAGGTGGTGGGTTTCTAACCTTTCCTGTCAGAGCCAACTTGGGCTGAGAGGGATACGACAACATCCTAGCAGAGTGACTGAGATGCTCTATAAATATTTCCTCAACACTCAGGGAATTGAACTCAAGTCTCCTGCATTCGACAGGGAAACGCTTAACCGCTACGCCTCAGACACCAGTGGATATGTTTCTAGCTGCTGATACATATTATTGTGAAAAACTCAAAACACATATAACTAATGATAAAACTCAACACAATACGCGAGAAGTTTTCATAATTTTTATTACATGACCCCAAAAGTCAATATTTGTAACTTTTTAAGAGCATGGATGTTTGTTCTTCTTTGCTGTGGCGATAAGATCAAGGTTTTGTATTCACTTGTACTGATTTGAGTTTTGAGCCCAGAAGTACCGGTACCCTCACAATCATAAATGTTGATTCAACTTAATTTTATCTATTCCAAAGTAAATACACAAATTCTATTTTTTCTGATTTATTTTCGATTCCTTGGCTGCTATGACCTGACTTGCTACTCTATCAGTCATGGCACGATCACATGAGACAGAGTTGTGACAAAGTTATGTGGGTCCTCTTCACTGAACTGCCTTTGAATATATATTACTCTGATAGGTTTCGCTTTGCGTAGAACTCCAGAGATCTTTACATTAAACTCATTGGTAATGTACGAATAAAACGGATAGATCTTACTCAAAATCATGTGGGTCTGGTTATTTGACTAACTTTTCTTTGCAAGGGGCACAAAACTGGTAGCCAATAATGCAAACGAAAAGGAGCACTTTCCATTTCAAATCCCTGTTTTGGAAATGTTGCATGTTGGGCCTATAATTAACATCAGCAGTAAGACGAGTCAATTGTTGTTTCTAAACTTTGATACAAATACTTTAAGTCTTTTAATTTGCCTCAAGTTAGAACAGAAGATACAGATTACATGTGTATCATTTATGCAATATATATCTAAAACTCTCTGGACAAGGGTACTAATTAACGTTAGACATACCACTGTTTGATGCAAATACACCAATACACCCCGTGCTTTTCCTCTTTTCCTTTTTAAGTTTAACCACACTGCTGATGATCTCATGTGAAGTAGGTCTACGTATAGGATGATCTATTTAAAGAAAAATAACATTCTTAAAATATATTAATTTCTCAATTCAACATCACAAAGTTGAGATTTATAACAGATGTTAGCACTCTTCCTTATTGAGGACTAAACATCCTCTCCTATTCCCCCACCCTCTCCCTAAATCACTTTCTTTTCTTAAATATTAAGGATAAAAAACTCAAGGCGGCATTTGGTATAAGAATAAAATGTACAATGCAAGGGAAGAAAAACCACAGGCATAATTTGTGTGAGACTCAAGTTAAGTCATACTCACATGATATACAAACAGTATATATATATATATATGGAGTCAAACTTAATTTTTTAAAAATTAATAGGAATTAGTAATTAATATCAGAATATCACAATTGTGCAGCTTGATAATAATGCTGTAGATTTAAATTTTATTTTGTTTAAAATCTACAAAATTTCCAGGGCAAAGAACAGATGGTTGAGCCTTGCAGTACAAAGAATTAATGTATAATTCAAATTCATACATAATTAAGTGGAAGCACATCTATCAAATGCATAGCAATATATAATTTATATCTAAAGACAAGCATGTATGGAATAATAATTACATTGTATGGAAACATGTTTACAACATTCACTCAAGAATCAAATTTTGACCAAATGCTTAATGAAAAACTGCATTGAACTTCATTCCACAAAGTCAAAGAAAATGATAGTAATATTGCATGCTTTTCAAAAACAAATTTAATACTGACCAAAATGACATAACATGGAATCAGCCTACACATGCAGGATGTACAGTATAGTTTAAAGTTCTTGAATACTGTTTTGAAAATGCTGACTGATACAATTTCAGTTACAATTCAAATCAATAGAATTTCTTTTCTCACCCGAGTATACTGTACTCAACCTCTCCTTCCAAAAATCTAAAAAAATATGTTTTTAAATAAGGTGAAATCTTTGATCTGTATGAATTTATTTACAAAATTACATAAACAGCAGGACTCAGAGAACACACAAAAAAACAAAACGAACTAAAATAAGATCTTGAGGACTTATGTTCAACGAAAACCATGCATTATCATTATTAAGTTAAGCCTACCACTTCTATATAAAGGAATGAAATCTAGGAGACTGGCTGGAAAGATAATATAATATTCACAGGCATACACCTCTAGGTAGGCTAGTTCTTTCTTTTCCAAGCCTTTCCAAACATAAACATGTAATTTTAGAGGCTGGGCTAAGATGCACAGTGGAAACAATATATGTACTTGTTAAAATCAAGGAGGAATTGTTGTTTTTTAAAAATTATGTGTAAAATTCCCGAAGCCCTAAATTGCAATGGAAAATCCACATAGAAAATAAAAAACATGAGGAAAATGTCCCTTCTTTTCATATATAATTTGTAGGCCCTAGGCTGTTCTGGATTTCCTCTATGCATTCATTAAGTACTCTTAACTCTAACATTTCATAATGCACACAACCCTTATGACAAGAAAACTTAACATGAATGGATCCAAAATCCAGAGCCAAGAAAGTATGATTTGCATATATAGATATTTTCTCGACTTTAAAGACATGAACAAGACATTCACTTGTTATCACATTCACAGATTTAGTAAAACAGTAGAAACCTTAAAAAGGATGCATTGTTCAAAACAGATTTGTGTAAGTGGAACATGAGCAAGAATTTGGATTTATGACTGTGTGAGTGTCCAGATACGAAGTTAGATCCTTCATATTTATGGTAACATGAGCACCAATAGTCATGACGCAGGGTTATATTACTCATGTAAGTGATATGATGATAGTGGTAAACATGTATTTAGTATTGAAAATGACAATAACACATAACACCATATAAACAGTTAAAATGGAATTTTCTTGTTATAACGCTGACTTTGAAAAAAAAACTATTTTGGCTCTTGTTGTTGTATCTTTGAATAGTTGCTCTTTGGCCACAAGACACAGAACGCCCAAAAGAGACGAATTATTTTAAAGGTAAAAAATGTATTTAAAATCAAAACTTCTGTCTTCAGTGTTGATAATAGTCTTATACAATATACAAATGCAGGTGGTGCTGTTCATACAGCACACGACTGTAGTATCCACGGTTATCAGTCTTATTGGTTCTCAATGTTTTCCTCTGCATTCTGCACAGTTGTTCCAAGAATTCCTTCAATGTCAGCAATGGCACCCTGGAAGAAACATTCAAACTTGAACTTTTATGTCAATATTTTATAAAGGTCTTCTCACAAAGGAATCAGTAAAGCAGTCAAGGAAAATAATACATTACTTTTACAAGCATGGTCTAACTCCATTATACTAACACACACACACAAATACCCCCCCTTGCCCTGCTTACCGTCAGGTTTTGTCAATACACAAAAAAGAATTTCTATAGATTCTATATAAACATACTATTAGAACCTTTACACTGCAATCCCTTTTTGAGTCTTACAGTTCTTACCAAACTAATGTATCTTTGCCCCACAACACCACCAGCAAACTAGCCCCCAGACACAAACACTACACCACTAGGCACCACTGGGAAGCTGCAGCTGTCCCTAATTTAATGGGATTGTCGCATGATTTAAAACATTTTTCAGATTACCTTTTGTAACGTGCAGCTATGATTAATCAATTCTATGTTTTGTTTGTTTGTTTTAGTAGAGGTTTTATGGCGCTCGCAACTGCATAAGGTCATATGAGCATCAGAAGATTAGAGGTGTTACAAGAGAGTAACAAACATAAAAAAGAAGGAGGGGAGATAAGGACGTTAGATGAATTCCATGTCACCGTATTTGTTTTTGGTCTTAAACCGAGTAGTACCGGTAGTGTGGATAAACATTAATTCAGTCAACATCCACAACCTCCCTTGAACCTCACTCTGGGCAATCAATCATCTGTCTGAAGTTGAAAGCAAGGTTTTCCTTTTTCTCAATTATCAAAGTTTGGAAGCTCTGCATATGTAATTAATGACTAAAAACTGGTTACACATGGCCTAGCATTTTTTTTTTTTTTTGGTAAGTGTTTTACGGCGCTCGCAATTGCATAAGGTCATATGAGTGCCCCGGACACATTAAACCTTTTCAGTTGGTAGGGAATTTTGAATTTTGCTCGGGTGGCAGCTGAAGCCTACCTTTATCGATTTTGGACCACCAAGGGATCTTTAATGTGCCCAACTTGTAAACGGGACCTCCGAGATTTTTCATCCTTGTCTGAGAAGGCTAGGTTTAAATCTTACCAACCATAAGATCAGGGGTGTGGCTGAAAGACAGCGGTAAGAAGGAGCCAAGGAGTAGCAGTAGAAAGGCTGAAGAAGGCTGCCGCTGTAGAAAAAGCCATAAGCCCAGAGGAGGGGATAAAAGAGGTGAGGGGGTGGGGGCAAAAGTGGAGACGAAAGCAGACGATAGAACATTGTTAAAGAGCAGAAAAGAATGTGAAGGAGAACATTTTAGAGAAGAAAACTTTTCCGCTGCTACCTGGATTCGAACCCGTGTCCTATTGGGTGAATCTTACCTTGAAGTTGGTGACTCCTTGCATGTTCGGGGCAGAAATTTCTTGATGAATTACAGACAAATTTCTGGCAAAGGTGGCCAAGGCTCCTTGAAGGTTATCTCCAACAGTTCTGAAAAAAGAATGACAACTTAGTATTACTATTCCATTTCTAGATTTAAATTTTATTCTCACATGACTCACATATTCTTTATAAACATAAGCCCATAAAAAGAAACCCCTAGTACAGGAATGTTGTTAAAAAGGATTCTAGACAATCTTTGCATACATATACCTTTGAGATAGTCAGTTGTTCTTGTATCCAACTTCAAAGCTCTAAAGTTCACTAATTTTTAACATAATTTGTAAAAAGGCCGAAAAAAAAGTTAACATGAGAAACTCGCCAATATTTCTAATTGCTATCCCACTAAATGTAAAGGGCAAATAGAGTTTAATGATGAGTAAGCATAACATTAAAATGATTCTCAGGTGAAAACTTTTGTAACTCACAGCATTCCCAAACGTTCACGGTTAAAGCTGTCAATAAGTGTGAATGCTGTGCCTGTCTTGTCCTGAAAAAGTGAGACAATGTCCACATTTTATGGTCAAAGAAATCAAAATTCTGATTTTGGCAAAGACATTCTCATTATAGTTGTTGCAAATGTAAAGCAAGACAGGTATCTTCTTGAAAATGAAGCTGTTTCTTATTAAAACGTATTCTGATGGAGCAACCACCCACATATATTAGCTATTTATATATGTTTTATATAGTTTGTGGTTAGAAAAAAGAAGAACAGACAGAGCTAAAAAAGATGAGATAAATTATATTATCAGTCAGACAGTCAAAGAGGATAGTGTGCTTCTGGAAATAAATCATTCTCAGAGTTTTACTCCTGTTCAACCTTGCTATACTATAGCTAAAGGATGACTTTTAAATAATTCATAAAAGAAATTTTGTACTAAGACAATTCACGTCTTCTCAAATGGCCCACCATATTTCAACTGCCCAGCATTCAATAACATCAGAAGAGCTACCCTCCTTACCCTGAGACCAGGGGATAAGAATAAACTCTATGGGTAACACAGCAGTCAAAGAAAACCTGAACAGATCACTCCGCGGCATAAGACCAAAGTCTGAAATCTTGAATGTTGCTGGATTAATATTAAGAACAACAATCTCCAAAATGCCGTACATAACAAAATAACATCATTCCATCTTCAAATATTGGTTTGACAGTACCGGGTCCTGAATAAATTATGGTTTGAATTCTGCTTGTCCTGCTGCCGTAGACACTATCTGGGTCGTTTCAGTGGTGGGGCTCTTAGTTCCCGGCCTTCCCATATCACAAAAATGCATTAAAAAAATAAAATAAAGCTACTCAATGCACTTGCCTTGATATCATATCCAATACCATGAGCCCGGCACATCTGGAAGTACACGCTGTAGTGCACCACTGCCAGATTTGTGTGCAGTAACCTTGTGCTCATGACCGCATAGCGGCTGTTGTTTGGGAGTTGCTGAAACAGAAAAACCCCCAACATATATTGAGATCAGATACGGTCACATGTCAAATAGTTTTCAAGAAATGATTTTGAGGAGTGTTCTAAATTGGATTCATAAACAAAACTTTCTTCCTGCAATATGCTTTTCAAATTTTAAAATAATTAAACTTGTTGATAATACATCAGTGTAGCCCTTTTGTCTATCGCACATCAGGATTAGATTAAATTCTACATACATCTTGTAGTTGTAGTCAACAACCAGGAGGGCTGCACTTTTAACTTCGCAAACAGTTGCCTTCATCACTATCTTACGAGAACCATTCCAAGTAAAAAGTAAATTTACCTAATTAAACAATGATTTTTGGACACTATTTTGTAACCATCACCAAAATTCAAAATGCCAGCATTATCATCTATTCCATTTATAACAATTACAGTGGTAAGTTATTCATCTATAACCATGTATATAAATGTATACACATTTCACTGCAGTTGAAATCACAAAAAAAGGAAAAAGAAACTCATAAAAAATCCAGCATGTTTGCATTGATAGAGAACATAAACATGAATTATTCCAAACTTTGCTTTTGTATTTTTTCATCTAAAAGGAAGTACATCATTTGGGACTTGATCAATTGATGAAATGAAATACATTCACATACACACACACACCCACACACACACCCACAGACACACATCCACACTTCACATACACAAACACACACACAAACAAATAAGCAAAAATACACATAAATGTAAAACACACACACACACATTCCACATATTTGCCAAGGCGTTTCAACAGAGTGTGAATTGAAATAAAAGTTAGATCATGAAATCAACCTCTTCTTCCTGGCCTGCTAATCGTCTTCTGCGAGGCCGCTGATCCATGTTAGAAGTATCCACTTCAAACACATGTGTTTTTGGCTGGAATGTCCCGTGGGTCACATATTGCATCAGTTGGTACATGGCAAGGTGGTCACTGTATTGCAGACAGAGGTCTAAGGCCCAAAGTTGTTGATTCATCTGCAATTTTGGAAATACAGCAGATCCTTCATTGACAAGTTTTAGTGACATCTGATCAAATGACTTTTTCATACTAAATATGCTTTTCTCTTTGCATCCTCTTTCACAATGGAGAGAAGGTGGAAAATTGATTTGATGATTTGTATGACCAAAAGGACGCGCATTTCTTAGTTCCCTTGACACAATCCCTTGAGAGATTCACTGTTCATAAGTTATGAGTAAACATGAGTTTGAATTTTTCTTCTGTCAAGAGCAATAATGTGTTGCTACAGATCAGTGGTCTTGGTTACAATCAGCTGAAATTCAAAGATGTCCGTGAAATGAAAATCAGACTATTTCTTATTGCATCAGAAACAATCTCTGCATTACAACAAAAACACTACTTGCAGCACACAAGTGATCAAATTTTTGGTTTTTACAGAACTTACAAACTACCACTACAAAATATTCTCTGCTTTCAAATTTTCCTTTCGTGGCTCATGAATTCATTGCAAAAGAAATTTCCCATTCAGGTTTATTATGTTTGAAGTTGGCACAAAAAGAAACTCCATTGTTGATTACAATTGATTTCTTCTTATTTTTAAAAATTGTTTCCTGAGATTGTCTTCTCTTTTAGAAAGATGTTGTTGCTGTATCTTTACTCCTCAAAGTTTTAAAAGAATTTGAAATACAGTAAGATAATTCTGTTTTAAGTTGTGAAATAATTCTTCTCTTCAAACATTAAAAGGTCAGTTGCCCTCAACTGTGATAAAAATATCACAAAATTTACTTGATACAAATGTAAGATATTGCGGGAAGCTACGACTGAGCAACCATCATAACACTCACTGTTCTAGGGTCAATAAATGTCACAAAGTCTATCCTCATGTAGCCCATGATGCCCCTGGTCTTGCAAGCATCTGCTATTTTCTGGCACATCTCATTCAGAGCTGAAGGTTCAATAGACGACTGTGGCACCGACACACCCCAACAGGAGAATGGACTTTCCGCATGGATTTGGTCACCACATGTGATGAGGTTGACCACACCCGAAGGCTCAATCAGGATGTCAGCCGACAAGGTAGTGATGTTCTCAGAAGGAGGGCAGGCCTCTATCACTCCACCTGTTTTAATACAAGTCCTCACGGTATTTAAATCAAGAGACGATCCCAATATACTTTCATCAAAATGAAATTTTAAAAAACCCAGTTGCCAATTATTTTTCATTTGCCATTTTTTAAAAGGATGCGATACATTTGGGTGTTAAATACAAACAATGTATTTGATCAATTGTTTTACTCACTTGTTCAGTAAATTAACGTAAGCATTAAAGGCGTATCAAGGGCCAGTAAATTAAAAATTTTGAACTTAACAACACCATACTTTTTTCCTACATTCCTTCAGTGTATTATATGCCACTCACAAAATTACACTGAAATGTATTGATTCTGATGTAATACAGTACAGCTTTTAACAGATTTGTTGTTTAATGAGCATGAGGTCCTTTTAGCACAAATAGATTACTTTGAAGGCAGGCTTATGAAGTTGTGGGGAATATTTTCCGTTGGACTGGACCCCTTGTCTTGGAAACAGAACGGTACGAATGAAAGCAAGACAAAATCCAGAGTAGATGCGAAAAAAAGATGCTACTCCTACTCCAGAAACATTGGGGTATATGAGTGCCCCTGCGCCCACCCCCCCCCTTCCCCACCCTATCAAGAGGGAAGTAGCCTCTTTGTTGATGTGATAGCAGACAACAAGGGGAGCTGGTTCAATGAGCAAAATAAGTTATGGCTTGGGTCTATAATGAAAGCTGCTGCAGCAATAGACTTTGCAGCACTGATCATAATAGCACGTTCACAAGAGCAAAAGAACAAAAATACCTTGAGACAGGAAGGCCCTCAAGAACTTCTCCCACGTTGGGAACATCTTCGTGTTGAGAGGCCGAGCATAACTATGGAGAATGTCAGGGACTTCAGCATGGATCTTGATGTATGCTGCTTCCTAAGGATTGAACAGTGGATAAAAATTGAGTCCGATAAATTATATTTTTCTAAAGCATCTCAAATAAATCATTAAACGTATGTTTATAAAATGGCTATCGCATCATACCTATACTACATGTTTGTTTCATTTCCTCATATCTAGTAAAAATAAAAGTGATCTCTATTATTTTAAACACATTTTGAAGATGCAGAATGTGACAGTGACTCAGAGGTAGATGAATCGTATCTATTTTTAATATGTCACATTGCATACAACATCCTACCTGTGCCCACTTCTTGCTCCATTTCTCTCCATATCTTTGTTCTTCTTTCAGAGCCCATTTGTAGCATCGAAGATATTTGGGAACATCGCAGTAGGCAATCCCTCGGCCATCACACTCATCATCTAGCTTGAAAAGCCATCTCTGAACGCCCAAGTTTTCAGTGACAAGCTGAGCCAGACACTCATGGAGCTGAAAAGAAGCAATATATCACAGTGTAGTCCAGCAAGGGCTATCAACAAAGCAAAAAAAACACCACTTACAAGATTAAGTAGATAGTAAACAGTTTACAAACTGGTAATGAACAGAAAGCAAAACCTTGACTTACAGTTTTTAGTGCCAATAAATTTCTTCTTACATTTTTGAAAATATTCTTGGTTGATGTGAATGCCTTCAAAAAGACACAGTCTCTGTGTACATTGTGCATTCATCAACAGCCTTATTTAACAGATGGACTTGGCAAGACTATATGTTTCATCACGTGGTGGAATCAAGAGTTCATCAATTTTTGGGCACGTGAAGTTGTCGATATCATCTTAAACCTTCTTCATTTTTCTTGCTTTCCATGAAAAAAAATACCCATCTTTCTGGAATGGAAGTCAAGATATTTGAAATTGAAGGGGATGGGAGTCGCTCGGTTCCAGAGGTAAAATTAGCAAGAAAATAGCCGCCAAATTTTGGTGAATTTTATACTTTGAGACTCCTTTGAAACTGAATATTTACATTTTTTGTGTCTTTAATTTACATTTTTCAGTAAAATCTACACATACATGTGATTTTAAATGGACATTAAAGGTGTTGAGCCAAAAAACAAAAATTTGATAAAAATAGCCAAACCGGCGGAAGAATGTCGGCAGAAATTTCATACTGGAAGAGGTTTTAACTTTCTATGCTGTACAAGACACTGCTATTCTTTCCCAGTTTTTGTTTTGATGCTCCCACATCTGCCTATATCCATGGAAGCAAGAACAGAGTTCAGACTTCTCTAAATGTCCACAAGAGCGAGTGTACAAATCAAGTACACAAACCTCTGGAAGTGAGGCCTGTTCTGCTATGATGCTATAGTCATGCTGCTGGTGTCCGTAAAGTGTAGTGCTTCTAAGACTCTTAACTTCAAATTTGTAATGTATACATGTAAAACTAAAACACTTTATTTTATAGGAAATATAATGTACCATCTTGAAATTTTCTTTTATTCTGTATATCTTTGCACTAACTTTTAAAAAGTTTCACCCTGATACATGTTTCTCTTCACCATAATCAACTATCAAGTGCTACAATGATCCACTGGTTCACCATAATAAAATCAGTACATGTAATACAGCTTGATGAGTGCTTTGTAAAGTGATGCGCTGTTTCAATAATTCAATTTCTCTGAAGAGCTATTTACCTGTCCAAGACTGTACACATCGTACTCGGAGGGTGGAGTCTCAACGTTGGCACTGGCAAAGATGCGTTTGCATCCAGACTTTGTAGAGTACAAGTGGGCAACATCTGGCTCTGGGCACAGAATGGGCACATCTAGAACATCAGCTACAGCCAAGTCATCTCGGTGGGGCATTCCTGTCACCATGAAGGCATCTCTGCCACGAATTAAATTCTTTATGCGTTTCAGTGTCCTTGGGCTGTACTTCAAAATAGTTGACAGGCACATTCGGTGAGTCTGTAGAAACATAAAAAAATATGAATATAAAAATGTTCAGTTTACATCGTCGGATATTCTAATTGCAAGGTAAGGTGTTGAACTTGCAGTTTTAAAAAATGTAGAGAGTTTGAGTTTAGGCTTCCAGGGTAGGAAGTTCTATCCTCTAAGTTTCCAAGGGAAGGAAGTTGTATCAATAAGAGAAACATTCCACCTTATTTTCCTCAGCTTACCCATTGTGAAAGTGTACTTGACAATGAGCAGAGACAGAATATGCGGATTACGTATTATAATGTGAATGACAGTTTTTGCAACATTGTTTATCCCCTACGGGACTGAAATGGAGGTTTGGAATAAAAAGGCCAGCCAACAGAGTTACTGTGAAGTAGTTAAATGTTTTTTTTCAAATGCACAGCATGTTTAGATCAGAAGTTAAGTAAAAGAGGAAGAAAGGAAAGAAAGCAGAGATGGTACACCACAGGAAACATGAAACATGTTGGGCAGGACAAAGATGTTCAATTCTGTAATTCCAGAAGTAAAAGGGTCTTATCTGCCTCTGGCGAGCAGCAGGTGACTAATTTATGATGTAGACTTTCTTGACAGCTCAACAAACTAGATGTTCTAAAATGTTTGTACTCACAGGGAAACTTTTGATTGCTTCAGGCACGATGATCTTGTATCTCTCCGTCATGTCACACTGATCCTCTGGGTTTCCGTTTGCCACCGCAGAGCACAAGCCCAGAAGCTTAGAGTAATACTGAAGTGTTTCATCACTCAGAGGCACAGCAGATATAAAAATGACATCAACATTTGGATCTGTAGATGTATAACAGTAACAGTCAAACATTGTAAATTAAAGTAACAGGTCACGGCACACCCGCAGTGGAATTTTAGTCGTAGCTGGAGTTCCCCCCCGAGCGCCTCATCACGCCGGGGTCACGGGGGTCAGCTCCCTGTCGCCGCTCTGTCTGGGCTGACTTAATTTTCAGTACTTTTCAATGTACAGTTTTAGGTGTATCCTTGTATTTATGGTAATTATCATTTAATGCACCAAAAGCACGCATTTCTACTCTTGAGACTCAAAAAAGAATGGACATTGTAACTTGTCTCGTTATTTCATAAGATGCGCTGAAGTCGGCAATGCTAAATTATAAAATTTTTTGGACAAGTGTGAATGAAAAAAAAAAATAATTAAGGAATATGAACGACATAACATTGGTGCAATGCTCACAAAAGATGATATCTGCGCGTATAATAGGAAGCTGTAATTTTGCAACTTTATCCATCTGATACACAATTCGCTATGAAATAATTCCTCCAAATACAACTTTATGTGTCTAATAATAATCGTGAATATTCTCATATTTTCTCTAAAGTTTCTCAAAATTACCCTGAAGTCTCTCTATGAAAAAGTACAAACCGATTTTAGTGCCAGAATACATCTACAATGTAATACACAAACAGTATCTGTTAAACTCCATAAATTCCTTATTTTTCTTAAAACGTTAAGTCTAGGTTTTGAAAGTTGACTGAATAACAGGGATGACTTCTTGTAATTGGGTTATAAGAATAATTTCTAGTTTTCCAGTGAGACTGAATCAGCACCAGACTTTTCAAGCTTTTATTTTTGTTGCTATGACCATTTGCAATAACTGACAATGTTCTGTTTTCTTAACATTCATAAGTGTTCGCGCGGATGTCCGACACAAAAACTAAGAATGAATGTGTTAGCAGTCAGTCATTATTTTTAAGAAGTGCATCTCTACCTATGTATAAACAGTTTGGCGTTTTTTTAAAAATTGCATAATATATCTTACTTAGTTGTATGCAGGCTGCCACAGACACAGCATGATTCATGAACAAACGCAGAGTAACTTTCTCTTGTTTCATGGTAGAACAAGAGCTAACGCTGAGTGTCTTAAGTAAAAAAATGCAGATGACTTGACAATAACTGCGCAAATTTAATATTTCTCAAGGTAAAAGACATGATATTCGTAGTTAGTTTAACACAGATTTTCTACAGATCTGTCTTACCATTTTAAAATAAACAATCATTTATTCATGAGTATGTAACTAAAATAGGACAAATTGGGTACTCTACAAACACTTGTCTGGAACAAAAACTAAGGCACACAAATTAACCATTCAAATGCAGAACAAACCTCAAGACATTGAGCTTTTAGGAAATCTGCTTAATGGTTTGCTGTAAATACGAACTTCTTAACTGACCCCGCAAAGTCGCTTCAGGGCTAATTAACCCTGCGAACACGACCCGTGGAGCTCCGGCGGGCTGCTGAGTCACGCTAACTAAAGGTAACAGAATTGGGCGAAGAGCGACGCCATCAGGTAAAAAAAACTAAGCTAACAATGACTTTTAAGCTGCACTTTTTGAACTGTAAGTGCTTAACTAAAGTGATTTTGAGATGCTAAAGTACAGGAGAAATAGCACAACAAAGGTGATGTTGATTTATTGACTGGGGAGAACCACACATTGCAATTTTTTTTTTGAAAGTGCGCATCAAATATGACAACTTTGCAACCCTACAATTGTTCAGAGTAGTATGTTGCAAAGATAGTGGTTTGGTTAAAGGCCCCAACTATTTTGCAAACTGCTCTTATCAGTGTAGTATAATATCAGGCACAGATAACTTGAACACTTGAAAATTAAAATCATGGATAGCTCATGCAATTGAATAAATATGCCGTTCCCAACTGAATTGCTATATTTTCTTTGTTTTCACAAGATTGTTTCCTCAAACACTCCTATATGGATTCTAGAATCATCTGAGAGGCTCAAGTCACACATAGAACCAAGCATCAACATGTAAAATGGTATAAAGGGAATCAAAATAAATCATGAAATACATTGCTAAAAATCTAGATAAAAATATCACACTCACCTTTAATGTCACAAAGCCTTGCCATCTGTGTGTTCTGACGAATGCCAAAGTCATTTATGCTGTCTCTCACAGACTGGCTGTATCCAAGGGAAGGAACATGAATGACTACCCTGCGGGAATTTTTTACTCTGTCCCAGGAAGATGCAAATTTCTGTATAAAAAAGAAAGGAGACACAAATACAGTCTTATTTAGTAGCATCACTGATCAAAGGAAATGGAAGAAAAAAATTTGGCAATTTCACGTTTATATCAATTGTTATAGGTGGCTGCAATGCTCTTTGTGAGCACTGGTTATAAAGTCTTTCTGAAGGAGACATTTTAATGAAAACTAAATATAAACTTTGTAGTAATCAACAATATCTGACATATCTCAAGTTATATGGCATATGAGCTTGGTATAAATGTACACAAGAGAGAAAAAACATTAAACAATGCACATCATCCTTTCAAATCTCAAAGACATAAAATGAGATACCTTTGCTCTTCGTTTGAATGCGTTCAGATGGTCCATTCTGGTTTTCTTCAGCTGCTGTCGCATTTTTGCCATTTTGATGTGCATGATCCAAGAAATAGCAATAACACCTGAAGCCCACTTCAGTCTCCTGTATTCAAGGTACTGAGAGCGTTCCCGGTATCTCCGCCACGATGACTGAATCTGAGTGGCAGCCATTTCATTTCCATTTGTACCCAAAAATCTTCGACCCTGAAGAGGAAAATTTACTTGTGTTAAGCAACCATTTGGAACAACAATAAAGTAGAAAAATTATGTCTTCTTTTGAAAACGATAGAAGAATAATTACAAGAATGAGAGCTGGATTTATTTTTTTAATCTTCAAATGTAAATCATACTCAATTCTAAAGAACGGTACAAGTTCCTCACAATTATGTGGGTTTATTTAATTGATGAAAGGCGACAGACATCAACAGGATAAAGAGTACTTTGTGCAAGGAAACATAGAAGAGGAATAATTTAAAAATTAGCCCTACAAAAGGCACTCTCTGATCACTTGTGATCTCCATTCATGCAACTCACTCTGAGCCAAACACTTATTACCTTTTTAGTAGCATGCTAAAACTACAATAAGATAAGATAAGATACGTCTTTATTGTCCAGATCCTGGCACATTGGTTTGGTGTTTCACCATGTACACACATACACAGACACACACGTACGCACATGCACACACACACACACACACACACACACACACACACACACACACACACACACAAACATGCACACACACACACACACACGCAGTATGCTTGCACTCACAAACAGGCTTACAGTCACATGTATAATATAAATGAACAGTAACATAAACAATAATAATGTTAAGCAAGATACATACTCAGTATTCTGATTGTAACTCAATGGCTTTCTGATGCATGCTCTAATGTCATATGAATACTTATAACAAGATGGCTAAGATGGAAGAAGTTTGATGGATGATGATAAGAATGACCTTTTGTATTTTTCTTCTGTATATAGTTCCATAGCCCAATGACAGGGCTAAACAGTCCGAGAGACAAAGGCAAGACAGTAAATGGGTACAAGACACAGCAAATATGAAATCTTTATTCGCCTAAGTTATTGTAATAAGTTCTGTGTTAAGGCCTGTACTAACCGGTTTGTTAATGATTGCCTCCACATCTTCATGGTTGATAATGACACTCAGTAGCTCTGCTACACCTGGGGCTTTCTCCAGTTCAAACTCCATTGACAAATCTGCCAGCCTGAAAATGGTGGAGTGGAGGAAATAAATTGTTAAAGGACAATCAAACATTCCACTCAGTGCTCAGACATGTTGAGTAATAACCCCTCTTCGCAGTGTAAATAAATCATCTGAGAATTACCAAGACTTTACATGCAGTGAGATCTGGTGCAAAAAAAAAGAAAGAACATATCTATACCTTCATTCGATATCAAACACAAATCAGCAATGAGTCCCACAAGACAATTTACTCTCAACAAGCACACAGACTTGAACATAATTTGTTCATTACAATGGCATCATGATTCTGGGATGGATCCTGAAGAGGGAGGGAGAGCAGAGATGGACATGTTCTGACTGCAGTGACCCCAACACAGTGGACAAGTAAGACAAGTAAGTAAGTAATGGCATTATGAGATAGCAGAATGGAATGAACACTGTAAAATATTAACAAAAAGGCAGTATCATTTGAACATTTTCAAGAAAGATTGTCTTACTTGTCTCCATGGATAAAGGCAATAGGCACAGCAAATGATGTCAGCATTCTTTCCAAATGTCGGATCATTGTGACAATGCTGCAAAAAAGTAAAATGAACCAGTGGTAAAGTGAATGCTTTCAGCTAATCTATCAAAATATGAAAGAACTTAAGGCCTTTTAGAAATATTTTCTTTATAAGGAATCAGGTTCATGTCAATCTTTTAAATGACCTTCTCTGTGCCCAGCATGGGATTCTTTTCTTCAAAGGTAAGTGGAAATATCTCTCACTGCTTCACAAAAGCCATCACAGATAACAGGATAGATTCCCAAGCACTGCTTGGCTTCCAGTCTACTTCAAGCTTACATGCATCTACACAGAGAAAAATTTAAGGCTCTAAGCTTTATTGGCAGGTTGGGAGGGGTTGTTATATTCACATGCAATGAGATAATATCAAGCCCAAAGCTGACTCATAGATCTAACTCATACAAAACATGTGATAACAATACCAAAAACAGAAATATCAACAAATATTTTTTTACCCTCCCCATGTGAGGCAATAATGTTGCTTGAAAGCCAGAAACTCTTGCTGACTCTCCCTGGTCTTTCCATTCTGGATGGCAAACCTATGTGGCGTGTGCTTGTGGTCTCCGCTAGCTGGGGTAGTCGGTGGAGGCTGCAAGGTAAATAAGCAGGGTCTAAACATTTTTATATATATATATATATAGCAAAAAGTATTCTTTTATGCATACACTTTGACAATCAAAAACAAAAGAAAAAAATGTCAGAAACAAACTAACTAAACAACAGATAAACACAATGACATAAAATAAATGTTCAATGATGAATCCTAACCACCATCCCTAATGAAATAAAATCTACATTGCAACAAACACATCAATAGACTATTCTACATTCTATAATAAGTATTGACATTGTTAGCTCTGTTCCATTTCAGATACACATTATATATTGACTCAATAAAGCAGAAAATTGTTATGGAAAGAGAGAAACTGATATAAATGCTTATAATATATTTTAAGGGACTGTATCTAAAGCATGTTATTTGTATTTGTTATTTGTTAAGATTCGAAAATATAAATTTAAAAAATCACCTGCTCTGCTGGTAAAAAAAACCAACTGAACAATTAGGAAAACCTTATCAATAAACATTCACAGCATGCCAGCAGAAATTTAACACAAGAATAAAGATATACATACAAGGATATATATACGTATGACCAATTCTTAAAAGATTAACACATCTGGAATGTTTCTTTCTTTCTTGCACGTTTATTGTGTTTGTTTTTGTTCTAAACTGCTTTCTAAAAGGCTCAACACAAATACCAAACCAATCTGCATTAGACACTAAGAAGATGCTCAAATAAAATTTTGAAATGATGTCAGTGCCTATAAGGTAAATAATCCAGGTGTGATTTTGATATGCTTCGAAATGGAGAGGGTTAAAATGAATTGACAGGAGTATCACCTTGAGTGTTATCATGCACCACTTTTTGTTATTGAGCATCTAGAGCCTCCCTGCGATGATCAAAAGAATAAAAACGCTGCAGCATTTCAATGCAGAAATATATGTGTCATGGCGCGGTGGAATCAAGCTCTCGTCAATTTTTGGGCATGTAGAGTTTTTGGTATTATGTTGAAGCTTGTTCATTTGTCTTGCTTTGGATAAAGAAAAAAATCCATTTGTCTTGCATACAAGTCGAGATATTTGCGAATGAAGGAGGTCACCTGGTTTCAGAGATAAAATTAATGGGAAAATGGCTGCCAAAGTTTCGTTATTTCCTTAGCTTGAGAGCCCGTGGAAATAGAAAATTAAAATTTTTTGTGTTTTTTGTAAAATCCACACGGAAATGTGTTCTTTTTTTTTTTGTAAGTGTTTTACCGCATAAGGTCATGTGAGCGCGCAGGACACATTAAATGTTTTCAGTTGGTAGGAAATTTTGAATTTTGTCCCATTTTAGACCACCGAGGGATCTTTAACGTGCTCAACTTGCACATGGGACCTCCGAGATTTTTTGCCCTTGTCTGAGAAGGCTAGATGTAGATTCCTACCAGAAGATCAAGGGTGTGGCTGAAAGATAGCAGTAAAAAGGAGCCAAGGAGTAGCAGTTTAAAAACTGCAGAAAGAGTCAGAAGCTCAAAGGAGGTGCGAGGGTGGGGGCAGAAAGTGTAGACGAAAGCAGACGACATAACATTGCTTGAGAGCAGGAAAGGAGGTGAAAGTAGACAATTTTAGAGAAGAAAACTTTTCCGTCGCTAACTGGATTCAAACCCGGGACCTTTGAATGAGAGGCGAACACCTTAACCTCTAGGCCACGAGAGTCCCCCTGGGTGTTCTTTAATGGTAATGAAAGGCGTTTAGCAAAAAAAACAAAAAATGTGATAAAAATTCCCAAGCCTGTGGAAAAATGCCAGTTTCTTCACCTTCATCATTTTGACGAGCGGCTGATTTCACCACGCTGCCCCACATATGTGTGTTTTAACATGAATGAGCCTTGCTTGCATTCCATTATTGTCCAAAAGTTTCAGGCAAATGCACGATGGGCATGTCACTCCCAACACTGGTGTTTACAAATTGACCAACTTTCAAGTGCATTGTAAGTGATCGTCTTCTCAACTTGAAAATTTGAAGAAAAGAAGGCACTTAGTGTCGATTTTGATAAAATTCTGTACTTTGAAAATTCAGGCTGATGTGAAGTTTCTAAGCTGATCTTTTCAGAAGGGATCATACAGGCTATAAAAATATCCATATAAATACAAGTATGCCGAATCCAGAGAAAATGGAAAGAAAAAAAGAATTTAAGAGTGTACTTCTGAAGATTAGACGGTGAAAAACAAATTAGGACGGAAAAAATAACAGAATGGAAAGAAAAAAAGAATTTAAGAGTGTACTTCTGAAGATTAGACGGTGAAAAACAAATTAGGACGGAAAAAATAACAGAATGCTATTTTCCAATATATAGGAGTGCACTTAGATGAAAATGATGCAAACGGGATACAAACTGAAAGAAAGTAATCCATAACTTAGAGGAAAGTTTTAAAGAAAAACAAAAGAAAAACACACATAGAAAATAAAAGCAGATCTTTTAACACCACCAGAACAAGAAGCTGCTGAGAGAACCCAGCAGTCATTGAAATGAAGACACGATAGCAGAGTGGAAAATGCATACTAAAGAACTCCATGGCTGAAACGTGACAATAAAAAATACAGATAATTTGAGGTGTTCATAAATTGGTTTCAACCTCTTTAAAGTTTCATGCAGTGAGTGAAATTGAAACAGTTTGATGCTTAAAACATCCCAGGGTTATTAGCAGTAATAGTATTTGAGCAATGACATTTGGTCGTTCAAATCACTATATTAGGTGAAGTTATCAACTCTATTCTTTTTAAGCACAACTGAACTCATTAAAAAACATTAACTTGGGCATATATATTAATAATCAAATGACGCAAATACAACGTGTGCATTGTGTGGGATGTGTGTTCCAAAAGGTGAATTGAAATGTCCTTATAAGTTGGCCTAAGTTAAACTTGTAACTTTCATTTATCATGTGTTCAATACCTATTTCATAGCAGAACCCTACATTGCCAAATATAAAAAAAGAAAAGATTTCCAGATTCTGAAAACGATTATAAATGTGATACTATTATCAATTTCCCCACAGTACAGATCTATTCTTTGATGAATGGGATCATGTATAGAGATTGCATAACCTGCCATAATGCGTACTGTTTACAAAATATTGATTTCAAAATTATTTTTTATCAGTGTGTGGTGCAAATGAGAAGTCAGCACTACATTGTGTGAAAACTAAAGAAGAAATCCCTTATATATTTGCATCTAATTCAACAAAGTTTTTTCTTTTCAAGCCCACCATACATAGCGCTATAAAACCTCAGAAATATGTGCTCTGGACATATCAAACTTGTAGAGACAAATAGTATGCTTTCCTGTTTCCTTAGCCTTAAGAATACCAATTTCATAATGTGTCTTTTGAATACTAATTTCATAATGTGTCTCTTGAATACCAATTTTATAATGTCCCTCATTTTAATTAACATATCTTCACATCCAAGAGCAGGGAGTGTTATACTGAGATTTCCCGGTATAAACAACAAAGAGAAGAAAATTATATTCCAGTTCAATCAATAGTGACCAGAACAAGGAAAATTTAAAAAAAGCTAGCAAGATGACATCTATTCATGAATCAGCAAAGGTTGACTAGGGAAAAAAGATTTTAAGAGAAAAGGAGATCATGCACAAGAAAAAGGAGGATCAAATTATAACGGCAAATACCCTCATAAGTTTGAGCGGTTGCAAAAAGATGCAGAAATATAGTTTTAAGAATTAAGGAGTTAGGAGGGGTAATGTTAGATAAATAATTTGGGAACTAAGGAAGGAAAGAAAATTATAATCAGATTCTACACTTGTTTGCACCTGAACAAGCATTGGAAGCTGAAATTCAAAAACGAAACAAAAAGAAAGAAACTTGTGACATTCGATAATTATTAACTGCATCATAACATACTGTGATAATAATACATGTAAAGACATTATTCAACTAAATACGGATTACAAACAACCCAAACTCATGCAGACTAAAGGCAAAGTATAATATGGATTGATCGAGGCATTAGGAAATGTGCCAAATTCCTGTTACTTAAAAGAATTTCCAGTGTTCAAGAAAAATTTGTGAATTACAATACTAAAGCTTAAATTATTTTCAGATGTTGTACTTACAAAAGTGATGAAACACATGGAAGAGACATAAAGTATTCAGTAACATATTACCTGTATGGTAACTTTCATATCTTGCATTGATAATTTAGTTCCTCTGACCACAAACAAATTCTTAACAAACATAATTCAAAGGGGAACGATTCTCACTAGACTTTTGGAGATAATGAAGTTAGCTGTAGAAACATAATTCAAAGAGGAATTATTCTCACTAAACTTTTGAAGGTAATAAAGTTAGCTATAGAATTTTGAATAAACATAAGACTCATGCTTGAAAAGATATTATTATAGTAAGGTGATAAAGTACATGACTTTTGCAGCATGGTCATTCTAGTTTTAGTCATGAATCACTAATTCTAATACTAGGACGAATGGTTTCTGCTATCTTACATCTAAGAATCACAAATATGAAGAGTATAAGAGTATGTACACTAATGTTACTTATACGTTGTTATAAGCAGTCATATGAAGAAACTAAAAACTAACAATAATATATCTGATACAGAATGTTAATTTGATCAGAAAGCATGCTACACATTCCAATTTTTCATTTGCTTTCTAAGATAGTGAAGGTACACTTAATTTTTTTTCACACACTCAGCACACCCTATGTCATATCACTGAAACTTTGCAGCTTTCAAATACCAGGCTATGCCTTGTTTCAAATTTGTACCAAATACAAAGATGTTGGAACATTGCACAAACTGGAACATTTATTACAACTGAGCACTGGAAGTATGCACAGACCAGCAACAGGTCCACCAAACAGATGAAACTATTTATCACAAAAGGCAGTGTTGACACATAAACACTTATTGCCTCTCTATATCAACATCTTTGTTATTAACGTTTCAAAATAACAGCTGACAATCAAACAACAGGGTGATAAAAAAAAAAGCGGGAGAACTTCTTTTGTTTAAATTTTCCTCCACACTGAAATTTTGCATTTCAAATTTGTACGCAACATTTGGAAGCCAAAAGGAATTTGTTTGATATTCATTTTAGATAAATCCACAGAACACTTTTTCTCTACATAGCGCGTAAAAAACAACCCATTTTCAGCTATGTCCTCATTTTTGTAGCATGACGCACTAGTTCACATTAGGCCTTCAACTAAAAATCCCAACGATTGCGCCACATTGCAAACTACAGTAGTCTAACAGGCCAACAAAAGTTTGCAGATAGTTTTTCTCAAAGTTCCTTTGCTGCTGAGATCATGGTTAAAATTAATAGAGGGAAGAGAGCTTTTTGTATTGAACATTTCCTCACCACCAACTCATTTCGTAAGTTTCGCACAAGGAACGGAGATGATGTGAAAGTGCCCTTAATGCCTTCTTTGATGTCAAGGGTAACAATGGCCCATCAGATAGGACCAGTAGAGAATCAGAACTAAAAATTCCCAGACAAAACAACCACTTCTGGTCAAACACACACCGTTCGCACCCCTTTAAAGATCACCAGGGTGCAGAATTCAGTAGATGAGTCCCATGACACGTCTGATAGACGATGTCTGCAGCAATGATGTTCCTATTTCTCAACGGTCCCCATTCTGAAGGCAGATCTTTATCTACGACTGTATCATTTTCCCGTTCGCAAAGCTATCAGAGGATAGCAATGTGTTTATGATTGTTTGATCGCCTTGAAAAGCGTGAACATTTCCTCTCTGACATTTGGTTCCATGGCAAAGCCCATATACAGGTTATATTAAGTCCACACATGTTATTTCGGTAACTTCATCCCCTTCCCTCCCCTATTGTCTCTAGAAACAGCTCCATACTGTAAGGTGTACAGTGTATTAAGCGGCTTTGAGTACTCATGGTTGTGTTCAGCCTCCAGTGAACATTACGAACGATGCGTTAAAATGTGTCAAGTCCAAAGGAGGACATATAGACTATATGTTCTCGGAATTTCAGAATTTAAAAAAAAATGTTTACTCAGTAGGAGAAAAGAAATGCTGTTCAAATGTTACAAGGATGGAAAGATTAGATTTTAAAAATAAAAGGAAAGAAAAAAAAACCCCAATAATTCTATGACTTTCTTTACAAGCTCTTTTAAATCGGTACATTTTGCATTTATAGGTGGTTTTTATATAAGTCATTTTCGTTTTCAAAAATAAGTTTCTTCTTTATGAATTTTATGTCAAACAAATTCCTTTTGTATGAATGTTATCTGTTCCACATTACAACATTCTAGTACAAATTTTGTGCGAGATATTCAGAAAAAAAGTTGTACAGTTTTTTTTGGATCACCCTGTATTGCAGATATTTCTATTTGTTTTCTCTTTGTTAAACCTCACACAGATTTTGCACGTGGCGGATGTATGCTGAAAAGCTTAGTTTATAAAACACAGAGGTGCTGCAATGTAATCAATACAACCACTAACACAATCCTTTACAAATATATATATATATATATGTCAACATTCGAATATGACAGGATACAACCACCATTATCACCTTTTTCTCCTTGGAGAGAATAAAAGAAATACGAGAGGGAATGTACTTCAATGAAACTTGAGCACAAACTGTCCACCCAATCAAACCCACAACATATTCCAAATTGCATAGTCATTAAAGTCTCTTCTGCAAAGCATATGTGAGTTTAAATACAAAGATAGTCAGCGTGACAGAGTTGTAACTTTCCCTGAAATAAAACAGGCACATAGACATTTCGGCATAAACAGGTTAGAATGATAGCGAACTGGAAAAGAAATAGAAAGAGTACAGCACTTCACATCTGCAATCTGAAAAAAAAAAAGCCCCAGATGCAAAAATGTGTTATATGTGTCACCCTATCATTACTCTGAAGTCTATTCATTCCCAATTGACACAGCACACAAAATATCCACACTGGCAAAAAAGGTAATCCCATGAGCACCAGTCCAGGAATTGTTATCAAGACCTACCATTGGCTGAAGGGGCATCTCAAATGTCTTGACTGTGGCAGGTGATTTTGCTCCTTGATGATTGGACAGAGATGAAGAGCCCCGTGTTTTAGCAGATAGCGTCCTTGTCTCAGGAGACACAACTGGCCGGGGTGGTACTGCAGGCATTTGAGACAGGGATGATCCAGGATCTTCTGCATTTCCATTAGCATCAATCTTCATGACAGCCCAGTTAGCATTTGCATCTGGAAAATGAAAGGTTGGAGACTTTGAATTACACACAGACTTTCTCTATGACAAACAGCAATATATGTGCCTAACATACTCACTTGTTTCCCTGCTTATCTAAGCTGAATGCTTGGTCTAAAATACTGTATTGAGACCTGTACTGTATGGGTAAGAAGTAAGAAGTAAGAGCAGCTATCGGCACTGAGTCCTGTCTGGGTTACATAGAAAGACAGAGGATAAAATGGTTTGGCCACCTGTTACACATGTCACCTGACCAGCCAGCCTCGAGAGCCTACAACACAAAGCACTCAGGCTATAAAGGAAGAGGAAGGCCATGCAAAAGGTGGATCGAGGATGTCAAGGAAACCCTAAGAAAACATAACATCACAACTGAAAGAGCTGCGGAGCTGGCCTACCATAGAAAACTGCATTTCCCTTCGACGCTAAACGGCAACAGAGGATGAAAAAGTGAAAGTAAAAGTAAGTAGTACTGTATGGGTACTTTCATAAAATCACAATTTCTTCTCTTTTCCCCTCCCTTTTAAAAAAAAATGAGATGAAGAGAATCATAAGTTAAACAATAAACTATAGCTCCAATTGAGAGATCTCATAAAGTAGAAATTATTTATATAGCTACCTCACACTATCTGAACTTAAACTGATGTTATTATTAACCTCATTGAACTTTTGGCTCATGGGCTTCTGGCCCCAGGCAGAGCACCTGATAAGTATTCAGAAGAAAGTACCCATGCTCTTTTTGCCAACTGAAATCAGGTTGTTGCTCTTATCACATAAAATGAAGCCCTGAAGGTGGTTGATAGAAATGGAACAGATTTCTCTGTATCCCTCATTATTTTGAAAAGGAAACAAACAGTTAATCTGTCCTTTCACGGAGATTAAAACCTCTCTCTCAAACATTAAAACTATGTGCCAGATTTTGGTCAAAGAAGCGCTGTTGCAGCTAAATAAATGCACTCCCCACCAGAAAGTGAAGTCAAGAGCATTTGGTTTCCCTTTATAAAATCATTCACTTGCCTGAATGAAGTATGCCAGAGACGGAGCAATGACAAACAGTTGGAAATATCAGCAACACCTCTAAGAGGTGGTAAAGGGCATCAACAAACCAGACAAGGTTGGAGCTAATGACAAACACATCAGAGTCTACACTGACCTGAAACAGGCTGGGGTTTCATTTTGTCCTCGGGGTCATGTAGATGAACCAATTTATTTTTCACAGGGGATGGGTCAAGGGTCAGTTGTGCAGCCGGGGGAATGAGACCTCTTTCTAATAAGCTGAGAATCCCTTTTCTGGCATCTTCCTCTTCAATTGGTGGAGGGGCAAGCTGAAAAATTTTCAACGAAAAAGGATAAAAAACTTTATAAACTACTAGCTGGGTCCCCTTTCGATGAAAGGAATGATCAGTACATTAACATCAACTGAAAGTCATTGGCCTACTACATTTACACTCTACTGGAATGGAGCAATAAATCTTGAGAGAAAAATGACACACGTGTTTCCAAGTTCCCAAATAAATAATAGATGTATAGATTGATTCTCTATTCCGCTTTCGTGGTTGTACACTCCAGAATTTCAAAGGTGTGGTATCAGTGTGCACGGATAGTGAACGTAAACCATCTTAGAAGACGGATTTTCCCAAGATTAGAACTCTGTGTGGACGAAACAAAGCATTTTGAAAAAATCGGGGAAAGCAGTTTGCATGGATTTTTTAACGTTAGATCCTAGCCACATGGATGCTGTGGATGCCTGTAAAGTTTCAAAGGTGTGGGTCAGGTAATAAGGGAGGAGTTTGTGCACAAAGCCTCCCAAGTCCACTTTTATATATATAGATTCACAATCATGAAGATGATGCAGATTGTCAAGACCAATGCTTTCATAATCACACTGTTGACTTCTCCTGACAAAATGTTTGTTCTAAAACTAAACAGAATTTTGAGTCATTACCAAAGACAAAAGAAAAGAAAAACACTAGCAGATTTTTAGCTCAACAACAAAATTGAACTTTAAAAGATTATTGAAATACAGGATGAAAGTTCATCGCATATGAAATTCTACAACAACGAATAAGCCATTTAACAACAACCATCGATGAAAAAAAAAGACTGATACAATTTATAATATTACTATGTTCATACTCACAGAAGCGTCCACTCTGTTAGCCTTTGGTAAAACTGTCAAATGTTCAACTGTAGTTCCAATAATGGGTTTTCCATAAGGCTGTCAAAGTTTAAAAAGCAATAAAATATTTGTAAGCATAAAGTTTATGAGGCATCCAGCTTTAAAAAAAAAAACAGAACGGAGGAGAATACGCGCACTGTGAAATATAAATGTCTCTATATAATTGTTGAAGTAATACAAAAAAATTTAATTAATTTCAGAACTATAGCTTTCCTCAGCTTCAGAGACAGAATTGGAATATGAATAATGTTTGACAGTTTTCATCATCGTCGTCGTCATCATCATCATCATCATCATAAAGAGCCAGATCTGACATTCATTTCTCCACTCAGACGCTCTAAAAAATTCTATATCACCCATCTATTCATGTTTTCCAAATAAGTTTCTCTAAGTCTACCCCTGCCTTTTGCCTTCTATTTTCCCAGTGAAAGCAGGATGTCCCAAGACTATATGTCCAGCCAAGTGTCCTAGAAACTGCATTTATCACTTCCTAATTGTTCTTATTAGTGAACAGTCCACATTGGTTTCTTTCAGCACTTCCATGCTTTTTATTTTTTTGATGACTTGAGCAAATTAAGTACAATTAAATACCATATCAAACAAAAACAAGTCAAAGCTTTAAAAAAAAAATGTTATACTGACCTTTTGTGTTCGTCGTTCATTGATGAGAGGCAATTGAATACCAAAGTTTTCTTTCATCACACTCCTATTTTGCTGGTTTTGTGGATTTATAACAGTTCTGAGAGTCCATTGCTGGTGATGCTGTGTACACAAAAAAATATTTTTAAAAAATGCAAGTACAGAAAGCTTGAAATGTTGAAACAAATATAGTTTCATTAGCTCAAATAACATTCAGTTCTTTTGTGTTAACGTTTTTAAAAATCTTTAGAATGATTCCTCAGCAAGCAAATGTAATAATAGGAACTGTTTTCTTACAACACTGGCCTCAAAGAAAAAGGAATACTTTAAATTTAAGTTTCCCCATGTAGTCCATATTCTTATGTCAGTTAACTCTTCTGTACCTAAATTTATCCCTGAATTGTGTTCTGTTTTAAAGGCAGTAATACATGACACAGAGAGTAGTACAGCTCCAAAGGTCATTTGCTAACTTTAACCAGAAAATACTTTGAAAAATATTAACTGTTGCATTGCACATTTGAGTAAACTTTCAACATGAAATCAACTATTATTAGAAATAAAATAAGGAGAACAAAAGCAAACATGACGAAAAGAACGAGAATACTCCAACAGCATATCAAGTTTAAAAGTCCTCTCTTCTTTGGATAAATGAAACGACTATATTTCTTAGGGTAGCGTACATAAAGTTAAAATTAAGTTTAATCCATAAGACATCACAAAATGAATTGACAAGTTGAGATTAACTTTAACCAGTTTGTCATTTACAAAGTGAAGCAAGAGATAGGCACAGATTGAATCCAACTTATTTAACTTGGTGACATTTCAAATATTTCAATTACAGTCATTTTCTTCTACTTCGTCGAAATATGCAAATCATTTTTTTTACCCTTTGTCCAGGAGTCAGTCCTTGCATTTGCATCATTTTTCTGGCAGGCAGCTTCGATCCAGGTGGAAGTGGTTGTCTGTTTAGCATATCCCTAACAAATGAAAAAATGGAGATTGGAAAGAGATTGTCCTTTACATGTAAGATCAAATGCAAAGCAAGGCAGAACATGCAAGGCTTTTAAAAAGCTCAAAAGAAGCCTTAAAGACTATTAGATGTACATAATAATAATCTCATCTATAAGGATATGTTCAATAAATTTATAAAATAATAATAGAAAGCATTTATTATTTGGCAAAGAAGCCAGTTTTACATAATTCCTTTAACACATCTTTTTTCTTTTTTTTGTTGTTACAGAAGATCTAAACGTATACAGGAGTGTCTTACAAAGTAAGAAAACTGAGTCTTTTATGACAAATTCATGGTCAACACTGATTACATTCATATGACTAAGACAAACACTTGCACAACAAAAACTCGCCTGTTCTGGGCATAAGATGGACGCCTCAGCTCCCCATGTCCACTCTGAAGGTCAATCAGACTTTCTTTTGAAGTGAACTGATCATCTCGAGGGACATTGTCAGACAATGGTAACATTTGCACTCGATTATTGAGACGGTAAACAACCTCCTCTGTGTGCCGCTGGAGGAAAAAAGACAAACTGATAAAACAGGCACCCAAAATATATATCAGTTTGTGTTTCCGAATTTTCCTTTTACAGCTTAACAGAATTACATGGCCAACTGGCTTGATGAAAGTTTTGCTCCGTCTTAACCTGAAATCTCCAACACTTTGCATTTTTTTAAAAATTACATAATATGAATGAACAAATACACAGAAACTTTTACCTCAGTATTGTAATCCCATCGTCCATAACAAGAGAGAAAAAATGGGGACTTTTGTTTTACTTCAGAATACTTGTGAAAACTTTTTAAAATGTAGAAAGATTTGAACATGGTAAGGAATCAAACCTGCAAGCCCTCCTCTGTCTTGGCAAGCGCCCTGTCAAGGTCGGACATGCTGATATTGCCATCCCCAGTGGACATCTTTTCTCGTAGTTGGCGCAAATCATCTTGAACCTTGAACAGACAAAGGCATGGAACATAAGGAAGGTTTCAACTCGCAAATTGAAGTATAAGGCTACATGCATCCTGTTTCTCAACAGTTTCATTAAAAAAAACCAACTGGTGTTTGTACAATACACCACCTTTAGAGTACGCAGGAGAAAATAAGCAAACAAAGATCAGAGATTATGCTACCTGAGACATTATATGTTTATATGTGCAAAGTGATGGTTTGTCTCCGTTGGGAGAGTTTTAAAACTTAATATAAGAAGTTTTACAGGGAAATGATAATTCCTGTAGGCTGATATTTAGTAAAAATCTAGAAATCAGCATCCACACTTTGTTTGTTTTTTTCTTCTTTTTTTTTTGCAGCTTCAGTGTGCACCTTTCTTTATGACACTATTCAGTGCAGTATGTAAGACTGTTTAATCTCTGAACATTATTTGTCACCTGACATAAAATTACCAAAAAAGAATATTGAGGAAGACTATTTTTTAAACTAACAAAGAAGACAGTAGATCTATTTCTTTCCATTTCAGAAAACTTTTTTGCAGATCTTCAACAGATGAGGAGAGTTCATAGTGTTCCTGTTTTTTGCAGTTTCTGTTCTTTTATGAAACATGTAGGAACTGGGGACTCTGGTTGGAACATTTATTAAGATCTAGACTGAAAAGAATTCTATAAACTTATAAAGGGGTAAGTTGTTTGAATACAATGACACAATAGTGGACCTCTCTTAAACATGAGTTTTTATTAGAAGAATGAAGAAACATTGTACAGCGGTCTCTGCCTCAGATCCCATCGCTTACGATCCTGGTTCCCTTAATTAAGATCGTGCTGTTTTAAGAAAACAAATTTTTACTCTACAAAAGTCACCCCTAAGATCCCGCTCTGACCCACTTTGAAGGTCTACATTCGGCTAAGATCCCGCATTTCTGATAATAATTTACGCAACAAACATGCGGGCGGGCACAGCCGATCAACCAAGAGTGAAAAGTTAAGATCAATGAACTGCCCGTAGCGTCAACAAAGATCAGCCACTCTCGTGAATGTGATCACGTTGTAAAACTCGATGAAACGGTACAATGTTTGCCCCAGATGAGATCACACCGATGTGTGAACTAACCTACACGTTCATTTTCTTTGAACATCACACTCGCACCTGAGCTCTCCACCTAAACTTACATCACTTCGCTCCAGGCTGGATCACATCATGCTGTGAACTCTTCCCTGACCATTGCAGCAGTTTTCTCTATTCCAGAGTTTGGGAGATAGACTGAATTTTAATTTATGTGGTCACAACGTAATGGTGCGTAACGACAAAGGCGAGGGAATTTGGTCAGAGAAGGAAAGCGATAAATTTTTGTCAGGTAAAGGGGAGGGGGGAACTGTATAAGTGTAGATCTTGAGACTCACAATATGATAATAAGCGAAAAAGGCACGCCTCATGCCACTATGCACTGTGATAGGTCATCAAGGTTAACCACTCTTTGCTCCCCATATGTCATAAACCCTCCCAGGGGGCATGTCAGTTCATTTTAGAGTGGAGGGATACCATTTTACTGATTATGAGCCTTAACATGGGTCACCGTAGATTCTTCCAAGGGATGTCGGCTAAGATCCCGCATTTTCCTTGCTCCAGAGCACCGGGATCTCAGGTGGAGACAAGATCTACTGTATCTCTAAATGTCTTCAACAGTATAAAAGTAACTATATAGCAAACACTTCCTCATGAAATGGTAAAATAAAGAAGGTATAAAAGTCATCTGTTTCTTAATTTCAAGACTGAAAAACCAAGACTCCTCAAACCCTCCTAATGGTTTCTCTGTATTCTTCACAGCAAACAAATGCTATGATTAATGAAACAGTTCCAAGTACTTTTGTTTTTCATTCATAGCTTCCCACAAAAACAGTCAATCAGCTGGAGAAATACATTCTTTTATTTTGTTATCCTTGGAAGGGGAAGCTCAGGTTGACGGATTAATTCATTAAAACTGCGTTAAATCATGATTAGCATCCCATGACACAGCATTTTAAATTTTTAGAAACATTATGTTTATAATCCAAACAAAGGTAAAGGCATACATATTTTCAAAAAGGACATCCTATCATCTAAATATGAATTCATAAATATCACTTTAAAATCAAACATTATTGATTAAATTACCCCTTTTCTTGTTACCCCCTACATAGTAACTGGTGGTATTTTCAAATAAGATAAAAATATTGAAAATAAAAGGTTCGTTGGAGTTTCTGCAAGATCTTAGAGAGGTAGCTAGTGTAGAAATTTTGTTTTACAAACTTGTCCTCTTTTATCTCTTTAGAGCATTATCAACATACAGTCAAACCTGTGTAAGATGGCCACCCATTGTCAAGGAGAAAAGTGGCCGTATAAGACAGGTGGCCGTCTTAGGCAGGACTGATCAAGATGAAGAAAACAAACCATTCCCATCTGAGGTCCCAATCGAAAGTAGCCGCATTGTTGTTGTTTTTGTTGTAGTTGTTGTTGCTGGTTTGTATTTTGTTTGTAATTCTTATTTTGTTGCTGATTTAGCACAAGGGTAACAAAAAACCCCGAAATGTATCAGACGAGGAAGACAGAGTGCCATGTTAAAACAAACACTTGGCTCGCCACCACTCGGAGAACGAGCGACGCTTCTGTCGCAAGTTCATGTTGATGTCCTTGTTACTTTGTTACAGACTGGGTAAACAGTGACCACCCATCTCACTTACGATTTGTGTATGAGTTCTGGGCGGGCTTATGGGTTATGAGGGATCACACGCTTACCTCACCAGCAGCTGAAAATTGGTAGCTATTGGTCAACAGTGGGAGGGGCCTACGCAACATGATCGGTTGGAGGGACTACCTAAAAACGACAGGTGATTGAATTATGACGGCTCGCCCACAACGCCAGGGGCCAATGCACAATTTATGACAAAGCGTAATGGAGTCACTTAGGTGGCCATCTAAGACAGGTGTTATTGCTTTGTGTGATAGGGGTTGTGGGTTAAAATATGGTGGCCGCGGCCGCGTTGGACAGGTGCCCGTTTTACACAGTTAAATTATATAGAAAAAAGGCAAGTGGGGAAATGGAAAGTGGCCGTTTGTACAGGTGACCGTCTTATAGAGGTGGCCATCAGGGCAGGTTTGACTGTATTAAAAAAATAAGAACACTTCTATTTTAGTAGGGAAAGTGTAGCAGGGTGCACTGACAAGGAAGCTGCCATTCATAAGTGGTGGCCAGCTCTGAGTTAATTAATTTAGACAGTGAAGAGGTCTCCATTTCATTTTTTATGTCAAAGATGTAATACAAACAAATTCAATGGTTTTTATTGTAGAGTATGGTAGTTTGAGGGAAATAGAAAAAGAATAAGCGAAATGGCAATCACTGAAAAAGTGTGCATAAAGAATTGTAAGTGAAGGAAACCCCCAGGGAATCTAGGCTTACCACTGACCTCAACAAAAGCAATAATGGTCTTGGGGTGTAAAATAAAAAGGTCCACACAGGGTTTTGATCCTCTTAAAGCGGCCCAGCCTTTTGTGAACCACCACAGGAGCCGTGCTACCAAGACAATGCATGGGTCATGCTTCAGTGATCACTGTCACTTTCCACTACATGAACATTCCATACAAGTGGTTCTATCCATGACACTATGACTGATGAAAGAAGATTGCTCTTGTATCAATCAATATCTAGATATTAAGTTTACATGTGTTTGACAAAGAAAATGGTAATAAGACCCTTTCATATTCTGAAGCCACACATTGGCTGAGCAACTGTTAAATCAGAAAAATTTTGAAATAAAATAAGTTCAATACAGCAACAGAAGTTAATGCTTTGATTATATTCACTACAAACTTGATTATATTCACTACCCTGAAGTCTCTTATGAAAAAGTAAAACCGATTTTAGTGCCAGAATACATCTACAATGTAATACACAAACAGATTCCGTTACACTCCGTAAATTCCTTATTTTTCTTAAAACGCCAAGTCTAGGTTTTGTAAGTTGACTGAATAACAGGGATGACTTCTTGTAATTGTGTTATAAGAATAATTTCTAGCTTTCCAGTGACACTGAATCAGCACCAGTCTTTTCCAGCTTTTATTTTCGTTGCTATGACCATTTGCAATAACTGATAGTGTTCTGACTTCTTTACATCATAAGTGTCCTTGCATACTTCCGACACAAAAACTAAAAATGAAAGTGTTAGCTGTCATTATCTTTATTCCATACAAGAAGTGCATCTCTACCCATGTATTAACACAGTTTTGTGTTTTAAAAAAATCGCATAATATATCTTTCTTAGTTGTATGCAGGCTGCCGCAGGCCGCAGATACAGCATGATTCATGAACAAACGTAGAGTAACTTTCTCTTGTGTAATGGAAGAACAAGAGCTAACGCTGAGTGTCTTTAGTTAAAAAATGCAGATGTGTACCTTTCTTCTCTTATAACGTGACTATTACTACTTGCGCAGATTTAAGATTTCTCATGGTAAAAGATCTGTCGTGCTGTTTTTAAATAAAAAATCATTTATTCATAAGTTTGTAGCTAAAATAGGCACAGAAATTAACCATTCAAACGAAGAATAAATCTAAAGACATTAAGCTTTTAGTCACGGCGCACGGGCAGTGGAATTTTAGTTGTCGCAGGGGGTTCCCCGCCGGGCGCCTTATCACGTCGGGGTCACGGGGGTCAGCTCCCTGTCGCCGCTCTGTCTGGGCCGACTTAATTTTTGGTACTTTTCAACGTACAATTTAAGGTGTATCCTTGTATATATATGTGAGGCAGCGTGGTGGAATCAGGCTCTGGTAAATTTTTGGGCATGTAGAGTTATTGGTATCATCTTAAAGCTGTTTCACTTGTGTTTATTTGGATGAAAAAAATATCCATTTATCTTGAATACAAGTCAAAATATTTGCGAATGAAGGAGGTGGGGGTCGCCTGTTTTCAGAGGTAAAACTAGTGAGAAAATGGCTGCTAAAGATTAGTTATTTCCTTAGCTTAAGAGT